AGCCTACTAAATGCCCAGCAAGAGAAAAAAAAATGAGGCAAGAAAAGCGAAAAAAGAAGGGAGGAGAGAAAGCGAAAAGTAAAAGTCAAGACTGCTGTGTCACTTTTAAACCCAAACACTATGTCGAAATTTTGCTTTCTGCGCATGCCCGAACTTCGCAGGCTGATATTTTGCATCTGGATCAGAAGGCCGCCAAGTGTACGACCTGTAAGCCGGTTTGTGGTAAGTTTTAGCTCTTTATAGCACGACAGTGACCAGAAAACCACTCGACTAGCTTCAAAACGCGTTTTTCGGCAAAATCTCCAGGAGCGAATGGGTTAATGATTATTGCGAGTTTTGTAGAAGTAAAAACACTACAGCCAACAAAATACAAACTAAATTAGCTAAAGTTAACCCCTTTAAGCACTCCTTCTTTGTGACAATCGTCAAAGCCTGGAACAGTTTACCGAATCATCTCTTCACTGACAAATTAATGTTAATAAATTTTAAAAAGGCTTAAAAGGATGGATGAAGATTTATTGACACAGTAGTTCATATTTTAATTGCATATATATTTTTACTTTAAATATCATTCTTACTGTACCATTTTTTTTGTACCTGCTCTAATGATTTTTATAAGCGCTTTTTATAATTTTTAAATATTTTTTTTTAAGTTCAGTTAGGGGACCCTTTATAGGGATAACCTTGCAGTCCACCATTTCAAATTATATGTATCATGTTTCATGCTTGTAAATATGGATATATGTATTTGAATAAAGTATTATTATTATTATTATTATTCTAGTTCTGACAGTTTACGTGAAATACCCCAATGGAAGGATGTAAGACACCAGGCCCCGATTGTTCAAACATAAGATAGCGGTATCCACCGGATAAATCAATATCCAGTGGATAAGTATTAGGAAAACTAATTGCGCTATCCAGTGAATAACGATTTATCTGCTGGATAGCGCTATCCTCCTTTTGAACAACCATAGCCTGATTCTTAGACGTCCGAGGTCGTTCATGGTCCCTTTTGCTTCTCTCCCTCTGAGAATCAGGCTAGAACAACCAGGGCCGGCTGTTATTCGAACATGCAGTAAGCATTTTTAAGTCACTGTATAATCTGGCTCCAGAATATTTATGTTCCAAGTTCATTTCCAGAAATGAGCTTGTGAACTATCCTTTACAAGATGTTGAGAATAACCTAACTGTTCCTCACCATGTACTTTAAAGGAAGTTTTAGTAACAGCGATGCTCAATTATGGAACAGTCTTCCTCTTGATCTTCACAAAGCAGAAACCCTCAACTCATTTAAAGCAAAACTAAACTGCTATGATTTCTCTAACTGTCTCACTCACGGCATCCATGTAAAGCAGAGTTTTTATTTATTATTGTAATCAAGTAGTTTTCATTTAGCTTATAGAGTTTAGTTTTTATACTTTTTAGTATTCATAGTATTCATCAATAATTATTATCTACCAGTCATTTGTTTCTTTTTAAAACCCGATGAAATTACCGTGACAAAATAAAGTTTGATTGATTGATTGATTGACCCTGGAGCATTTGCAGTTGTTCCAAAAACATGACAAATGCCTGGGGGGAAGTGGGGATGGGCATGCTTGTAATTGACTGGGCCATTAAAAATATTTTGGGTCAAATTATAGCCACCATAAGTTTCATCTGTATAATTCCTTCCATAAACAACAATAGATCAATGCTCAGAATTCGATCACCAATGGCCACACGAACACAGGGTGATCCGCTGTGGAGGGACCTTCCTCGTGGTCCCATGAGTATATCCATGTTACAACATATTTCTTACAATATTTTTTGCTTCTTATTAACAGGAGTTATCCTTCGAAATTCGAAAGAGTTTCGTTTTGCATTGCCCTTTAAATTATCCCATAACAACACATGATTCAAGCTTAATTCGACTGATATGTGAGCTAAAAAGTTAAATAAATTTAATAATACTCACCAAAATCTCCACTTCTCAAATAACTTATTGATCCAGATGTTAAGAAATGTGTTGTGGGACTCTACTGGTCATCAACAAAAATACAAAACAATCCCATCTTAGCTCTGCTGACTATGTTTTCGTTCACATATTTTAACCAGAGAATATAGCCGCCATCTTGGCGTCTTCTAGGCCCAGACTTCTCTCTGAGAGGAAGTATTGGGGGGAGTGGGGGTGGGGGGGGAGGGGTGGGTAGCTAGAGGATGATTGGGGAAAAAATACGGGGACGGAAAGAATTGCCAAACTTGCCGGTCACGAAACTGACGAAAGTCCAGGCAAGTGCAGATCATCGATGAATTCAACAGTTTCCCAGCTTTCGTAAGTCAGTGCTCTGTTTCGCTTCTTTTTGCGTCACGTTGTGCGAGTTCAAAGACTTCATCGTAAATTGTAAGTCATAAGTATCACATTACTCTTTACCCCTGGGGGCTGTTCACCGGGAACTTAATCCCTCTCTCTTTTCAAAAAGTGTGTGGGTTATTAAACATCCCACATAACATTACATGAACAAGGGCTGTAAGATGGGGTCGACGGTTTTACATCCTTATTGGAGAAGACTAGACACTCTTACTATTTGCAGATGACAGTTCTAAAGGCAGCACTTCCTCCTCAGTTATTTAAAAACCCTGGCGTAAGTCCGGCCGGGATTTGAACGCGCGACCTCCCGCTCAGTATACCAGGGCTAATCCAACTAAGCAAACCGGGCGGCCGACAAGTGAAGCTTTCAAGGAGAACTATTCTAGAGACTTAACTGGTTGTAAAATACTCTTTCAGCAATGTATTGAATTGCTTTAGGAGCCTATAACTCGGAGCAACTCCTATGCTTAACCCATGCAACAGTGCTTTCGAGAATTAGTTGATTTTTAGCATCATTTGATTTTGGAGTACTTTTCTTGCGAAAATGGTAGCACCGCCCCATATGTGTGTGAGTCCATGATAAGTATTCCTCTTAAGTATTCCTCTTCTAAACGCCACTTGCGCATGCGTTCTGAATTGCTGTATAACAAAACCTTCTTGAGGAACTAATTCAGAAATTTGAAAGTCCCCATACAAAAATTCTGATTATTGTTCATCATGGCTAGGTTAGCATGGTGTATAAAGAGTTTACTTTATCGTTTGTCTCACGATTATCACTTTGATATTGATTGTCTCCCTAGAGAGACGAGTTTGCGATTGGAAGAGACGGCTGAAATTCAGGCTCCTTACTGAACACATTGATTTCCTCTGACTGTTTGAAAAAGACAAATAAATGAGCTAGTCCAATTTGTCCTTTGCTCTTAGCCCTGCCTCGTACCCAGACGTCTCTCTCTCTCGCGTGCAAAGGAAGGCGGGAAGCTAAGCGGGAAGCCGTCTGTACCCTTCCCATGGTCCCTTGCGGCTCATCACCAGTCGCTCGCCTCTACCTTGTGAAAAACGAAGCGCCTGAGGAGGAGGCTGCTCTAAGCTTGTATTCTAACGCATCATAGGTAATGAAAAGTCAATTAATAGAAATATTAAGAAGAGATCGTAGCACATCAGTTTAAAACAACAAATACGGCTCAGTAATTGAAACGTTTATTAGATGATGTTCTAAAAACAGCAAATATAATTGTTTTCTTAGATAGTTAATTAACACTAATGAGATAGTACTAATAAGCTTAAACATTACAAAAAATGTACGATTTTAAAATGCGTCGGTCTAGAACGTATATAAAAATATGCTTGTAATAGTGTTGTAACAAGGTAAGCTAATACTTTTGAGCAAGTTAAGAAGATGCAAGTTTCTAAGCACTAAATCTATGTGCCCTTGATCTGAAACTCAGTGTTTAGAGATCCCGATGAAGTAGTCATAAAACTCGACAGTTTATAATCCCAGCAAGAGAGAATAATCTAGATTATTCTCTCTTGATTTCAGCAATACAAAGTGTGGCTGTAATTTCTGTAATTTATAATTGTGGGATATCTACTGTAAATGTTCTGGCTTTTTTTTTTTCAATACTGAGAACAGTGGTATAATTTTTAATGAACATTGCTAAGCGATCTCGACGCGTAGGTTTTTTGGCAGCGTAATGTTTGGCAGTTGGACGACTGGAAACAAATTAGTCAGTTATTTACATTCCCCACTCCATTCAAGAGATTATAAGGAGAATGGGTACTATCTTTCGGCGCGACAATTTCCGTGACCGCTTGGGTGGACAAGCGTTGCTTATGATTGGTTAATGGTTGCCTAGAATACCAGCGACCAATCATAACTAGTACTTATTTACCCAAACGGTCCCTGAAATCACTGCATCCAAAGCTTGTCACCATTCTCCCTTGGAGTTTCTCAAGTGGGGAATTATAACACCAAGATGGAGATGCGCGTCATTCTACGTCGGGCAGCCTAATTCCGGTCGGCATCCTTTTTCTGTTTTTTTTTTACGTTTTTTCAGGACATGAGGTAGCTTCTCAATACGTTCCCACATTATTTCCATCACATCTAAAGGGTGGCTTTTAAGTGGTTTTCTGTGTAAGACGAACAAATGTTCTAACTTGGAACATATAACAGCATTTGGAAGAATGCACAGTATACGTTTGATGTCAGCACAGTGAGATACGTCTGCATCAAATAACTGAATGACTTGTCCTCAATGAACTGCTCACATTGGATTCCTCAAGTTGACAACGTCAGAATCATTCCGGTGTAACAGTGACATGGGCATCCGCGTGTTTTGGGCATCTCCATTCCCAAAACCCAAGTGATATGGGTATCCCCTTCTCATGTTACCTTAGCGATTTGGGTTTGGGTTAGGCTTAGGGTTACAGGGGGTGCGCAGAACAATAGGGTGTTGGGAAGGGGGATGCCCAAAACGCGGGGGTGCCCATATCACTGTGACACCGGTATTACCTGACCTTTTGAAGGTCTGGCCACGACTCCTTAATTAACTTTACATGCCTATTAGCTCTAAGGTTAAAATATCAACTTGGAAACAGCTTGTTAACACCATGTTTTTAAAATTGGAGAATTCAAGCTTCTTTCATGGTTTGAAATAACATCCTCCTTGTCACAAGGAGGCTGGAAGTCTAGCCTCGGCTGAAGATTATCCAAATCATTTGCTGCAGTTACCGAATTGCATCGTGACTCAACTACAGACGTTGAATTCGACGAACAATTGTCTACTCTTACTATATCCATCTTAACACAGTTCCATTTTTTCATGATCATTGAGGATTGCTTCAAAGTTATAAGGTGCTCTTCGCCTCTTTTGAGATTGAATAATAATCGCATGGAGAATTTTCCAACAACTCCAAGATGTTTTCTAAACCGTACCAAGACGAAAATGGCGATTACTTCGGCTAGGAGTGCTAAAAAGCAAACCGCTATCGCTATAGCCACCGTTAGGAAAAGTCCACTAAAGTTGAGGATACTCAGGTCTTTAGCAGAAGTTCTACTGCACATCTTGTCAAAATATCTCTTTTCAATCATGCTAACACTTCCGTTTGTTTTCATCTCTATGACAACTCTATTAATATCATCGAGCCAAGGCGAGCCTTTACGGACAGCAAACGCTACACCATGTGTGTAAAAGTTAGGACCGGCTAAGCAGTAGTTGCAGTCCGGAATCTTGTTGGCGGCTCCACGCAGAGAAAGGTAATCACCCACCAGGCCTTGGATCTCACTGTAAAACAAGGGCAAAATCGAAATACACTCGTATATAGTACATACCAAGCTAGCAACAAATGTTTCGTGAGAAAACAGGGGGAAGGGGCCAGACCAAAATGCCAAAGAACAAACGCTACATTCGCTGATTGTGCAGCCCGAAAAAACCAAGTAAAGTAAAGTCGCCCAAATTGTTTTTATTGGGGAAGCACAATCATTTTACTGTGCTGTATATCCTCTGTTTATTCCCCTTGTTGGTGGGTGGGGGTGGGGGGATGGGGGGAGTAATTTTCAGTGCCTATGGAATTGAGGCTTATTAGACCAAGCCGGGATTATTGGATATTTGGGTCTTAAGTTAGTTGTCATTTATTGTCATTTTTGTTTTTTGTCATTGTTGTTATCGTTGCTTATGTTTCTCTGAAATTTTTTCGTCCCTTCGTTCATAGAGACATATTTTTTAATGGTAAATAATTGCAAAGTCAGATAGTTCAATCAAACGTGTATAACACATGTAAAGATTGAAGTGTGTAATCTCAAGTATCTTGTCACCCCTATGAGCAATCGTTATTTGGGGTGGGAGCGTATTGAATTTTAGACGACCCGGACAGGGCGACAAATGGAGAAAAGACGATGTACATAGAGGAGAACCCTTGTGATCTCCCATCCTTTTTTATACAACAGTCAAACCCCGTTAGTACGGACAGAAAGTGTCCGCGGGTTGAATTCAGAGAAAATTTAAGGGCTTTTTTTCCCCAGGGACAAAACACACTGTCCGTAACTAATGAGGTGTCCGTATCAACCGGGTGTCCGTAAAGCAAGGATTGACTGTACTTAGTTTCTTTTAAAAAGTAACAAACAAACAATCAAACAAAGAAAATCACCATGTGGTAAAGACTTAGTGGTGTATTTTTCGGGGAGTGCCTCATATATCTAGTAATGAAACTTACCTTTCCTGGAGTTTGTTTATCCCTTCACTCGACTGAGTCATTAGATTTACTTTTAAGTTGTCGTTGTAAAGTTGACGCAGTTCATGGTCAATATTATTCTTGAAGTAACTTTCAGCAAAAGTGCCCTGAAGGACACCAAGTTTGAATCCATTTGGAGGGTGAAGAGAAGGATCTCTCAACTGTAAAGAAATTAAGATGACATATTGTTTTTTTTTTCCTCTTTTAGTAATGTCGAGAAGCAAAAATTTTCAGCTTTTTGAAATTAGGAAATAGTGAGCCTTTTTCTTCCCAAAATCTCAGTTCACAGGGTTTGGAGGAAACCCAGCAGCCAAGTTTTTTTTTTGTGAATAACGAAACCTCCTCTGAACTGCAAAGTAATTGAATCAAATGGTCTACAGGGTTTTCGAGAAATTTCATCAGTGAGTAAGTGCAGTCACAAACGACAAGAAGAATGCATAGTAGATTTAACAAAATCAGAGAAAAAAGAAAATTCCTCGATTGAAAAACTTCCTCGTGTTTATCCTTTTACTGTTTTAGCCCTTTAGAGAATGCTAAACCCGATTGACATCTGCCGTTATCGTCAAATATGATGCATAGCCTGAGTTGTTCCGAGATTTAGTTAGTTTAAATCGCGAGGCGTAGACGACTTAGCTCGACTTAAAGCAACATTTTTGCTGCCCCAAAAGGTTAACATATAGGAAATTTTTGAAGCCAAATCACCTTATCGTGAGACTTTGGCAACGTAAAATGAAATAAAAACTAGATGTCTGAATCATTCATTTCTGCATAATGTTACCCGTTTAACCATACTAGTCACTTGACTTTCTTTTATGGGCGGAAGTCACATAAATATTACCCTGCGAGCAGAGGATTCTTTCTTGCATGGCTTTTAGCGTTTACGATGTGGTTCGCGTCGCTTGTCAGTCGCGCTGGTTTTCCATGAAAAAAAAAACACGCAAAAAATAGCCATGCAAGAGAGAAACTGCTCGCAGGGTACATAAATATGGGTATCAGTAAAACAAACCGACTAAATACCTTTGGGTCTTTAATCCCCTTGATAGGTAACACATAGTCTTCCTGCAATAGATTGGCCATCAGGTTCGCAGAATACGTGTTTACAAGAATAAGGGCCATGAATGCATACACGGTGGACACCCATCTCGCACTTAAACTGCGTGGCGTTTTTTCCGCTCCTATGTCTTTACCAAAGGCCACTCCCCATACATAGCTCATGGCATCTACCACACAAGGGAAACAAAGAACACAGCAATCATACAGAATACGCATTAACATGAAAACGTTTTATAAATGCATATAAGGTGGACAACCATCTCGCACTTAAACTGCAAGGCGTTTTTTTCGCCCCTATGTCTTTACCACAAATAGCTCATGGCGTCTACCACGCAAGAGAAATAAGATATACAGCAATCTTGCAAAAAAAGTACTAACATGAAAACGTGCCATTAATACACTGTACTCTAACGGTAGCTCTAAGATAATAGAATCGGGCTTGCCTCGTACAGTAATAATATGATTCATTTTGATTTGTATTTGAGGCCAGTCCCTAAAAGTAAGCACCCAGGGTATCGTATACAGAGCGACTATATACGGAACCTTCCGCTATTCTCTCTGACGTTGCTCGATTTTATCCGTTTTTGAAACTGATATGAGCGGAATCATAATTCATTCCCGGCGTACTTTGGGATGTTGCGTTGAATTGCATATGGGACTGTTTTGGGAACAATTTTGACCCAGCTAATAAAAAAGGCTGGCGTCCCCATCCCATGCTGCAATTCGACACTGGCGCTATTCTCTTTGATGTCATTCGATTCTATCCGTCTTTAAAAACTGAGATCTAGCAGCAACATAGTCCATGTAGCCTGCGTCGCAGACATAATCAAACTTCAGTTAGTAACGTCTGCGAAGCAAAGCCGAGATCCTTGTTCTGGGCTCCTGACGGACTAAACGAATCACTGGAAAGGTGTTTCAAATTTCCCTTCAACCTGATTGGTAAATTGACTATGGCTTTTTTAACAGACCAATTATGGCACGTACTCAAATCCTGGTCTATAGACGCCTTTCTCGCGAGGGGTGATTTTCACGCACCCTAGCGTTTCGCTCGCTCTACTATCCGGGAGGAGAAATGGGGACTACTCGTAGTCTAATCCTGGTAGACAGGTGGAGGCTAAAAACAAAGATTTAGGCGCTGGCTCGCAGACGGATTACCCAGAAATTTAGTTCCGTCTGGCACAGGCTTTGCCTAGTCCCTATTTTGGGCTGCCAATGCGTCTCGGGTCACGTGGTCCGAGCGAAGAAGTGAGTTCGCCTCGGATACTTCATCGAAGTGAATTCATGTGACCGAGAAGGCCTGGGAAAACGTCGTACGGAGACTAGGCAAGGGAAGGCTATAGTCCAGAAAGCACTTACCTAAAAGGGTAACTCCATCTTCGTCTCTCTCCCTGAGAATATAGTGATGTCCGGTTGGACTCTTTCTATCAAACCACCACACCACAACCAGGATAACGTTGCACGTTCCAAGAATAGCTAACCACAACCAAACATCAAACGGTTTCAACCACGAATACCACTGAACACCTAAATATTAAAGATAAATCAACAGAAAAAAAACTTGCTTACAGCTAGGCTCGAGAAAGCCAACTACCCCCTACCTTGTGGCATTACAAATTAGAGACTTAGCGCCCTTGGAATAGAAGTCTTCGAATTTTGGCATCAGCGTTAGAATTAAGTAAACGTCTTATTTACGGATACCTCGAGTTTCCGAATTACGACCCCGTTTAGCGGTACATACCCCAACCGTGAGCGGGGAAGATGAAGCGAATCCTGTGTTCTGATTGGCCACCCGAGCAGGTAAGATGGACCCACCTTGTACACTCGGGATTTTCCGCGTCGGTCCCGCAAGAAAAAGTTCTCCTTTTGGCCACATAATAATCTTTTATTGACCAAGATTGATCGATCAAAATGGCTGGATAATGGCATTGTTCTTTTTTGCGTTTTTTATCGACTTTGACTTCTTCTCGGTCCATATTAAACAAAGCAAAAAAGAACTTGGCTAATTTCCAGCCATCCTGACGTCACGCTTGCTCGATGACACATTTGCATAACTGAGGTATTTTGAAGGAAGCTCCTTTCACTAAATACATCTTGTAAATTCAAGACTGTGTCGTCTCACCATTTTCGTAGCGGTCTTCCTTCTCCACTAAGACGTTAAAAGCAAGAGGAAGATGAGGAAAAGAAAAGTCGATGTACTTGGCTCTTTTCTGGCTCAAAGCTATATCAACACTTAGATCTCCCTCTCCTGATAACAGTTCCCTGATAATTCCGCTCCACTTTCCTGTCTTTTCATCAAAGATCCCATATTGTCCGTCAGCGACAAAGTAAATTTCGGGAGAAAATTGCAGTTCACGTTCAATAATTCCTAGTAAATCTATGGAGAACCCAAAACAGCACAATGTTTTGACCCTTGTCCCGGTTTTGTTGTAACAGAGGTACCCTCTTTTCAGACATATTAGCTCCTTCTCATATGTTTCTTGAGGTTCTTCGGCCTCTACCCAGGGAGGGTACAAAACCACAGGTACTCGCAGAATGGGCCTAGAGGGTCCCAGGCGTGGAAGCAGGACTTGTCCGTTTGGAGCCTTAAAGGACTCTATGGCGATACCCGAATACGTGCTCAGGCCAATAGTGGTCCAGTGTTTAATACCAGTGAGGTCTTGTTCTAGACTTGAAATGTGCATTACGGAGAAATATCCTTTATGCACTGATGGATTCTCGAAAATGGACGTTTTTCCTTTCAAGGAAGTGTTCCTTGTTATCCTAGAGGAGTTAACCTTTGTTTAAAACTCAGCATTCCTTCAATTAGAAAATTGAACTAAAGCTTTGGTCTCGGTTGTTCAAACGCTAGATAGCACTATCCACCGGATGAATCGCTATCCAGTGGATAAGTCGGCTAACAAAACTGAACGTGTTATCCACTGATAGTATCATCCACCTTTAATTTGAACAACTGGGCTCAGTTGTACTGAGGCTTCCCTGTTAAGGTCTGTAAAGGAAACTATGTGCTGTTTAGCGTACAAATAAGAACTTCGAATTATGCTCTTAATCAGGCCAAAACATTCTTTGACAAAATCTTTCACCCACAAGAAACGAAACGTCTTAGAATCACAAATTTCTACCAAAAATAATTTTACAGAGAAGCGCATGTCCGCGCGAGTGGTCTTCGGACATGCGCTTCTCTGTACATACATGGCAACACACATATTATAGAGTGACCACTCTTCTCGTGAGGACGAACAAAAGATAAAAATATAACACTCTTGAAGCAATGAAGAAAGTGTTTTGTTAAGAGAGATAACTTACCTCTTAAATGAACTCTGCAAGGCGTTAGAATAATTACTAATGGACTGATACGTTGTCTTGTTGTTAGCAGACGTCTCTACCGCTCTTGCTGCTGACAAAGCAATCAGGCTAACGGCGTCGTACAGCGTATGCACCATATAATCATGGTTAGGAGAAGCCCCAGGAGATATTCTCATAAATCCAGCAGGAAGATTCATTATTGAGACCCCAAAGGTAGAAATGTTCGTCAGCAGCCAAGAGGATCGGGTTTTTTTGACGCCCAGGTTTCCAAGCAACTGGAATATCTCAACATTGTGGGAGTCGTACAGGTGGACAATAACTACGTCACTTTCACTTGTCATAATTTCATTAAACGCGGATTCGAGTTCGGTACCATTTTCCCAGCTTCTTAGTACCCAAACTGTGTGTAAAATATCCCATTTTACCTTCTTCGAGTACTCAATTATTTCGCCCGCAAGTACCGTGCCTTCGTAGTCAGCGGATAATACTAGGCTAAGTGTGCGCCATCCCATTTTGTTCATTAAGTCCTTTATAACGCTTGCGTAGTGCTTCATTGACGGCGAAGCTGTTCTTGTGAAGCCAACGGGACTTTCCTGTAGTTTTCAAAAGAAAAAGAGTATAATCAAATTTCTCTTAAACGGATAAGTCCAAAGGACGGAAATTTCTGAATAATGGCGGCCAAGTGTCGTTCCCTGCAGCTCTCTTCTCAGCAGACGACTCTTTGTATCATAGGGAGGACGTGGAGAGGAAAAAAGGAAAGCGCACGATGGGATGATGGGACGATGGGAAGGAGAAAGAGAAGAAGCGCTTTCTATTTTTCGATTATTGCTATTTTTATTGGGATGCCAGCGGGAACCTCTCCTCTCTACAAGGCGATAAAACCTCTCTTGGTGCCGCGATTCCCAAAAGTGTTGGTCTTAGAGAGTTTCCTGTGCTATAATTACTCACCATGCCTTATTTCTGCGCAAACGCAGCGAGCCCCACACTCCATAAGTTTAAATGTGAACTGTAGATACGGCGCTTTCGTCCATCGTTGCGCAGTTGTTTTGCAATTTTGCCTCCTTTTCGTGACCAAGTTTTCAATATTTATAATGTGATAGTTAACAAAACTTTCACCATAACCGCAGATTGAAGTCATTGCATTACGTTTCCAATATTTATAAGGTGTCATTAATCAAAACTCTCACTATAACGGCTAATTGATGTCACTGTATTACGTTTTCAATATTAATTCACTGCATTATGCTTCCAATAATTAAGGTGGAAGTGCTCGAAACTCTCACTACAACGGCTAATTGACGTCAGTACATTACGCCATGGCTAAAAAAACCCCGGTGCACCTGTTTTCAATCGTTACTAAACTTTATTTAAATAGACATTACAGGCTAGGGCATTACGAATGCAGCTTTTTCCAGTATTTGGTCAATAAGAAACCATTGTAGTTGGATAAAATACGTCAACAAAGGACTCCTGCTTAATGTTTTGATTGTACAATAGAATTCAACGCGACATTTGCATTTAAATATCATTAACTCTAAAATCATGAAATCAAAATAAAGAAGGAAAACCTTTTAAAGTGCAGCCGATCTAAATTTCCAAAATGACACAATCACGATTTTCTCTTTTTTGTAGACTAAACTCGTAGCGCAATGTCCAGAAGTGAATAGAAAAAAAAAAGCGATCGTAAATTGTTAAAAATTAGCGAATATCTTTGATCTAGTAGTGTTTTTGTTAATGTCTCGTTGCGCTTAAATTAGTTGCTGTTTTGCTCTTCTTTAATGAAAACAATGAAAAAGAGACGTTTTAGCGAGCTTGATAACAAGGGGAGATTTTTCATAATCTTTTTACTTTTTTCGAATGTTCTGCGGCATTGTTTTTTACCAAGCGGATGAAAATATAAAATACACTGTCACAACATCATAATTTACCATTTGCGAAAAGCAAGCATTAATACAGGCAAACGGCACTTCACTTCAGAATTGAAGTTTATTCGTAACTGAATATTCTATAGGCTTATCTGGAACAAAATACAGCGCTCATCACAAATGGAGAAGCCAGTGACAGATGTTACATAGCCTGGGGATTGCCGCTGTTTTTTTGAGGAAAGCCCGTGATGCACGCACTCAACAAATTTGCTTCAAATCATGTTCAACTCAATCATAACCCATAAGTTATCTGAAAGTATTTAGAGTTTCCTTTGGCAATGAGTTTTTAATTATTCTCTCATGAGCAAGAATTTTCGAAGACTGTTGGAAGATTTGAGTTGATTTCTAAGTAACCATCGTACTCGAGAAAGAATGCGGAGAAAGTGCAGAAATTTATTAATTCATAACAAAAATAGTGTTTTGAACTTTTGAACAGGTTTTTTTTTTTATAACAATAAAAATAGACATGCCTCTATTCCGTTTGATAAAGGTAAACAGTACTCTTATAATTTTTGCAGTGCGTTAACTCTAGACAATTCACTCCCAGAAGTGACCAAAGTCAACATTGGAAAAAAAAATGCAAATTTTATTTGGTAAAATGCTGAAAAATAAACAATTCTACGTCTAAGTATATGTACTGTCGAGGAGGTTTCAGTTGAGTGGTCACACAATACAGACCATAGGATTTGATCCATAGACTCCGGGATACATACTAAATATAGTACCATGTGAAAGTACTGCTGAAGAGGTTTCATTTGAATGGTCATTCAAAAGGTAGAACCATTCTTCACTCTGGGAGGGAACTAAATTACAGCCGACCTTTACTAAAGGCCTTTTCCCTACAACGGCATCAGTCCCTAAAATTTGTCGGAAATTACACGGAAATCTTCTCCGAAAGGGTCGTTTGAAAGAGGACGATGTATAAACTAGTGCACTCACTGTACCTTAGTTTGTAGAGTCGTTTTGTCAACATTTTTGTTCTGACACTTTTGGTTTCTGTTTCACATCCATTTATTTGCCATGATAAGCATTTGCAAAATCTTAAAATGGTGTACCCTTTCCACAAATTAGTATCACCTTACACCCTTCTTGCCCACTGAAAAGCCACCTCTTCCGCGCGGCCCAACTGGCATAGTGGCCGCCTTAGGGAGGTGCGACTACTTTGGACTGGGGAGAACTGAAAAAATGTATTGAAATCCTCTGACAGCGGTACCGCGCATTTTAGGTGAGATACCCGTAATGTAGAGGCAAAAACAACTCAATGAGGTCTTTGCTTCATTTCTATGCAGCCTGAAAAACATGAATAACATAAGGCTGGTGACCTTACCTGACTCAAAGGATTTCCGCTCGTCTGAAACAATCCCACAGAAATAATATTTAACCTTTCCATTAACGAGGACAAAAAAATCTCGTGGCTTGAAAACTGAACAAAGATAGCCGCACACAACGTTGTCTTGATGTTGCAATTGAAGAACCGATCATCATCCAGGTTCGTGATTCTGTTTATAACTTTGCCGTACGTTACAAGACTCAAATTTAAGCGAATTTTGTTTTCCGGTGAAATATTCCCGTGATCAAGATAATAAAATTCTATAGCCTTTTGCGCGATGTTTTTTATCTCTGCGTTGGACCTTTCAACGAAGATATTCACATGGACGTGATAGATTCTAAGCGGATTGCTGACACACAACACGCTTACACCAAGAAGAAGTTGAATTATGTTTAAGTGATATGCCATAGTAAAACACTTGCGAATCAAAATTGCAAACCTCACTAAATTGATACAAAAATTGGAAACGACTTTAAACTTATTATGACACCGACGGGAAAATTAATTAAAGTAAAGAATCTGATGACGCGTGTGGCAAGTGAAGAGATTTCATTGGCTTCTGCAGCTCTAATAGAAATATCTCGTGCAGGTGGTGTCAATAACACAGACGGAACTAAATGAATAAAGTACATTTCAGTTTCTGCGCCTGTCGTAGATAATGTAGCTTTTAATACGCCTTGAAGTGGTCATATGATCATATGAGCAAAACATGGTATATAACTTCAAGTAAAGAACAAAAGAGAATATTTTAAATGAATCTTGTTTGGATAAAACCAGTTTGCAAGTGGTTTTTATTCTTTTTGAGCACCGTAGAGACCAACATAATTGTTTCACTCCAAGAAACGGAACATCGATACGTCGCAAACCTGGACCGACATAAGGGTCAGTCGGGAGAAACGTAAGATAATAAAGGATCTGAATGAACAAAGATTGACGATATTTTAATAGACTCAAATAGTATTGTTAAACTGAAGCAGGGCATAGACTTCAATTTTTGGTGCAACTCTTTCTCAAATATCAAGAAAGCTCTCAGTCTACTTTGAATTTGCTTTCTACTGCACAATTAACAGCAAGCAAAACAGGACAAGTTGCTTAGAGAGGAAAGGGTTTTAAAAAGGCTTATTCACGTTAAAAAAGTTTAACGCCAGGTGCATTGAACACGACGTCCTGTGTTCGTAAACAGGAAAAGTGCAATACGAACATCAAGTGCATTTCACTGTGTATTTTTAGCCTTTACGTTTCTTTGTCTCTAGAAATAGGTTTCAGTGCGTCAATGTTTTGAATTTTTAATCAGACATTTATAGTGAAAGCTCCATATCATAAGAAGCAACATTTTTTTATATCCCTGAGACAATGGCTATTGATTGACACTGATGATTTAGTGCTCTACTTAACAGGGCATTGCGGTTGAATTTGGGTGAAAATGGAATGAATTACGAAATAAAGGGAAAGGTATAGACATGAAAAGGAAAAAAGGGGAAATTTTTTTCTGTTTCCCTCACCCCCCCTCTACCTTTTGAGCTTCGTATACGCCGTATTAATCACATTTTCTATTCTTCCCAATCTTCCTCTGTGCCTTCAAGATCAAAGATACTGAGTGCTTACTCGTTCGAACTACACAATTGTACAACAGGTTAGCAAATGACGTTTGACTAACGGTGATTGCGTCGCACGTGACTATCATGTGCCGCGTGTGAGGCGAAAGCGCGCCCGCAATGTCTACATTTAAAAGGCTTTTCTCCGCTATGTTGACGAATGTGAGTGCGCAAAATAGATGAGGCCGTAAAGCCTTTGACGCAGTAAGGACACTTGTACGGTCTATCACCGCTGTGCACTCGTAGGTGTTTGTTTAGACTAGATGACTGGGAAAAAGTTTTCTGGCACACCGTGCATTGGTGAGGTCGGTAGTTATCATGCACATGAAGGATGTGAATACGTAAGCGGTCTCCCTTATCAAATGAGCGGTTACACACTTTGCAGGGGAACTTCCGGTCTCCGTAGTCAACGCAGCGCGTGTATTTCTGGTGGCGAACGAGGTAGTATTTGTAGGCGAACACTTTTCCACAGGACTGACAAGGATAGCTAGAATCGTCATCTACAAAAAGAGAAAAGAATTCTTGAAGACAAAGCAAAGGAAACATCAGTTATACGAGGTGAAAATCTGCGACTCCAATGTACGCAATCTTTGGCGCAAGTTGGTACAAACATTACGAAGGCATTTTATAGTACTTGAACTGCACTGGTAGACGTTAATCCCTACCATTTGGCATACTCAGGTACAAATACGATTTATTCTTGTCCAACACAATTCACTGGGTTGAGTTTTAATCCTTAAATATTACTTAATCAACTAAAGCTACAATGGACACCTTTTTAGGCGTTGTATTGATGTCCCTCCACCTGTTAGGAAGGGTGTGTTATGGCACTAGTCATAGGTCATTGACCTCTTTAAGTATTGGTAAAGAAGAGCAATTTCAAAGCCCGTTATTGTCTTTTCCCTGGGCTTAATTATCCCGCGCTTCCCATACTTTTTGGGTCACGTGATCTATTATGAGTTTGACTTGACGACCCCAAAATGCAATGACCGAGAATGCCTAGGAAGACACCGTGCAACCACTAAGCAGTTATGAAACAAATCCCGGAAAAATACCAGTGACCTGCGTGTTACTTTGATATGTACTCATCAAGGAACTGTTCATTTAGCTTACAAAAAGAACAAAAAGTGCTAAGTTACGCGACTTCATCAGTCCAAGGTTTATATGCGCCTTGGATTAAAAATGGACCAAGCAATGTCTGTAAGAGAACTGTGTCCCTTAGGTGAGAGGTGACGGCATCTACGACAGCTTATAAACAGCTTATAACTCACCTGACGACCCGTTCTTTATGCTCAGTGGTATCCCCATAAAAAGCCTATACTGGTCACCATACCACACCTTTAATTCTTGTCCTTCTCTTATCGCACGCGTCGCTTGGTAGTACAATAAAGAATCCTGTTGTACTAGGGCCAGGTTTTGCTCGGCCGAATGGCGCGCGCAGTTAATAAACTTCATCCAGTTTGTCCGGTTTGTCGCTCCATCGATGCAGTATTCAAAACGACCATCAGTGTATATCTACCAAGAAAAGTTAATGTAAGGTAAAACGGCAACAAAAACATGCAATCCCTGCTTTGTAACATTGTTGCAAAATGAGTTGAGTAGCGATGTTGCGCGTTTTACCGCCCACAATTTAAACCGGTTGCCAAAAGATTTGCAGAAAGAAGAGAGTAGTTCTACTTTTTAAAACAGAATCTATTCATGTTGCGCGTTCTTCCGGCTCAAGGTAAACTTGTTTTGCAACAAGTGACGCCACTCACGTGTATGACATGACTCCGCTGTAATTTCATCCACTCAGAAGTCAGTATTGACGCAACTTGGAACAACCTGATTTGTTGCAAGACAGTCGGGGGGTAAAATGCGCAAAAAAATTACACGTTTTTGCTGCCAGTTTTACCATATCTTTATCTGAAAGACTTTGTCATTTGAAAGTAATTGAAAACCATGAAGAACTATTAAGGTTACAAACCTCCCATAAGAATTCATTTTCAAAAGCCTTTCGTCTGTTTACTTCTTCCACGCTTACAATACGTCCGGTATAGGGACCAAAGCGCATGCCCTTTTTAATGCTAAGCTGGCCACAAAAAACGCCGTAGCCGTAGTTTCCTGGAGTCTTTACTGTTAATATTCTGAGGTCATGTGGTAAAGTCTGGGCGCAGAAAGAAAAACCTAAAGGATCATGAAAGAAAACGAAATAATCAGTAACGAAGTACTCAAGTTAATGAAACTTAGCATCTTAAGAATTTTGTGTGACTCACTGACAACATTGGCATAGTGGTTTATGGTTACAACTTAATAAGGCTGTGTCGCCAGATTTTCAGTTAATGCTTAAAATCTACCGAAAGCCTTTTCTATCATCTTCCTATAATAAGCTGAATAGTGACCAGGCCTTACTTAAAGTTACTATACTAGTACACGAAAACTGGCCAAACCTCCTTATGACTACTTGGAAACGTCTGGCGGGTAACTGTTTTTTTTCCAGTTTGCTTTAAAATCTTGTTTGTGGTTTTCACCACAGATGATAAATCAGTAACTGAATCGTCTTTCACTTGTCGTTCAATCACCAGGGATTATTATATTTACCTTCGTTCCTGTGTGTGACAGATTTTTGCTGATCGTACAGCACAGCATACAAATCTTTTCGAGAGATAGTCAGTTCTTCTTTGGACTTAATGCTACACATCATAAGCTCTGTTTGCTGGAATAGAATAGACTAATGAAAATCATAACATACCAATCATAGATGCCCGTCTATACGCAGGCTCATAGCCAATATAAAGTCTCTAGAGGCAGCTAAAAATTTTTAGTTTCTTGTGTGAGCCTTGCGAAAAAATATCTGGCTTTCACTGGGATATACATTGAAAATATTTTTTCTGGTATTACCTTGGTAAGAATTTCCTTCTGATTTTTCCTCAGGAATTTTTTCCCCAGTGGAGTTGTAATTTACGCGAGGTTTGTTTTTCTTAGCGTTCAGTGTCATTGCAACAGTCTTACTTATCCCCTATCGCTTCGGTCGAGTAAAAAAAAGGTTTTTGTCTGCCCCGGCTTCATTTTTTGAGGCAAGCGAAATAAAATGTAAGAGCAGGGTGCAAAGAAAGTCAGTTTTACAGCCTGTCATTCGGGCAAGCTGTAGCTAGCATGTACTAGCTCACAAGTCATTTCAACCAGCCCCACAACCCTTTTTGATTAGCAGGATTGATTACAACCCCTCTGTAATTTGAATTTTTCCAAAAAACAGCACTTGCCCGTCGGGCAAGTTAAGAACAAAAATCACTAGCCCGATGGCAAAATCCACTAGCCCTGGGATATCGGACACCACTTTCTTTGCAGGCTGAAGAGTGATAATACGGGCGTCCATTTAACTTTAAGTATTCCGCCACCCGCTCTATGTTCGATTAAGAGATTCAACTACACAGGTATATAATAATGTGATAGTTTATACAGTAATACATTTTGCTAATGAGTCAAACTGTGCGAGCTACAGCTAAACATGAAACAATTCTTTAAGGTCCTTTAGTTGAATAAACGTTTTAAAAAAAAATTAAAAAAGGAGGAATTTTACCCATTTAAACTGAACACCTTACCCCAAAGCACGAACAGAGCTCCTAACTTGCACTTAGAATACCAATTTTAGATATGCTATGGAGCTTAAGGTAAGCTATATCATAAATATAACTCGTCCGCCGGACTATATTTTTCTTTTGTAAAAATCCTTTGAAGATGCGCTTCTTAAAAGACGCTCATGAGTCTCTTGTTAATAAAGCCAGTTGCACAAACAAATTACACAGACAGGAAACTGCTGATCACGTTTTATTTTCCTACCTCATAACCTTAATCCCTGAGTAGGTCTTTAGCGATACTAGATCAAAAGCGATAATCCACATAATTCACATCTGCTCATTAAAAAGATTTTAAACAATGCACTGGTTCGCTAAGGGGATACATCATCGAGGAAGACGGAAGAAGCAAGTCTCATTGTGCCCCATTTAACTTCAAAAAAGGATCTACCGTTTAATAAAGATATAACCTAAAAGGTAGGAAATGTAGTTAGTTATTTGTGCATAAATTTAATGGGTATTTTTATCGTTGAAATAATTTTAAAGTGATCAGGCGTAATAAAAAATGTTTACAAGCGTAACAGCTTTGTTGCAGTATTTTTGCCAGTTTTCGAGAACCCGGGCTTAGTTCTAGAACAAGTAATTCAATGGAGAAGGACCACGAAATACTTAAACCGCTCTGTTGTTGGCACCAGAACCAACAAGCTTTAGTTTTAATAATAGTGGGCAGAAACCAAAAAAGGAAAAAAAAAAAAGACGAATTGTTGAAAACAATGAACAGGTTTTCTTTTGAGTACGCTTTTGTTTAAGATATGCATTTTAATTCAATGGGCAGGAACTAAAGTTTTTGCGATCAATAGCCGCACATGATGATCGACCGATCTTTACCGGATTTGTTCTCCGGCTCTCTGCCTCAATATTCATTCACGACACATTTTTCCCATGAAATTAGCGCATACTACTACATTAACAATTTCAAAATCAGAATTTGTCAGACATTCCCTGCTCAGTTTTTTCTCAAAACCTATGCGTGTTGGAATGAAGAAGGCAAAACTCTTAAGGGTGGATAAAAGAATCAAAGCGGGCAAATGCGACGGCTTAATGCTACGCTGGAAATGAATCTACCCTAACACTGAATAAAATGAATACGTACGAAAAAGTTTTATTCAACGCCTTTCAATGTCGGTTATACATTGATTGTGGCCCCCAAGTAGAGTAGGCGACCTATTTCTGGTCGTCACTTGCATTTTATTGTTCCAAGAACTTTTCTCTTTCTAAGAAATGGAAGGGCACCTCCCATTTTCTCACTGAGGGGCCTAGAGACGAGGATGGCAAACGACGAGGAAATCGATGTGAGCCCTGTAGTACCCAATCCCTCGCCGTTAGCATCACTAATACACCATAATGATACATAATGTTCCTTGATCGCTCCGAACACCTCCAAGAGAGTGTTTTGAAAGCCAACTTGGCATTTATTTTTCTTTTTTTAATCTGGGTTGGTTTTGGAATTTAAGTGTTTAGATACGCAAAAAAGTATGGTTTGAGAAAAGGAGAGGGAGCATTGGAAGTACTGAATAGAAGGAAGTGATTTAGTCCCCTTTGACCAAAAGGTAAAAGACACTGAATTGAGCTCGACCTTTTTTCAAGTGACTATGAACAGCGCCGTAGCTAGTATGAGGCCAACCGAGGCACTCGCCTCGGTAAAATTTTGACGAATTTCGCCGATCATTTTTATTTTACGTAAGCGATCATCGGATATTTTTAACGCGTCATGATATTACAAAGAATTCAGCAATTCAGTCAATATACTATGAAAAAATTACCATATCATCGATCTCAAGGGGCTACGTACGTTAACTCAAATTTTTTTTTGAACAAATACTGATCAAAACCATTGGCGAGGTTAACGGTCACCCAGATTATGTAGCTTGTTTCTGATTATTGCTTTTTAAATTCCACTTAAATTAACTCGAAAAAAAGTTACCGAAAGGCCCAGAAAACGCTGCAAATCGCATTTCCGAGAGACTAAAGTTCAAAATTTCTCGGGGGGGGGGGGGGGGGGCATGCCCCCGAACCCCCCTAGCAACTCCCGCCTGCCTCGGTTGGCCGTTTGGTCTAGCTACGGCACTGATGAAGAAGAAAAAAATAATTAGACACTGAGAAGAGAATTGGAGGCCAGAAAATAAATATGAAAATATGTCAATTACGCAATGAGCTATTTTGAATGATTCTAAAATCCCAAGTAAACTATACTGTGGTCCTCAGTATAAACACTTCGCCAGTTGTCAGCTTACTGAAAATAAACCATGAATAGATAATTCAATCTAACACGAAAAACCTCTTGCAGCCTCATTGATAAACATTGCATAAATAACACATTTCCGTTAATGCAAAGATCAGTTGTTGTGAGGTCCCTGGTTGATAACACAGACGCATTATACGATCCATTGAGTTATCTCATCTGAGTCAAGAATGATTTTTGTAGCTCTGATATTTTCCGCGTTTGGATTGCTGCTTAAGGCTGCAGATGTTTCGAGCACGACAAAACATCAGATGAATCATGTCACCCAAAGAGACAACAAAACACCGGTCGATAATATCACTGCATCTACCAACTGCCGGCGCCATGTGCATTTCAACAATTTCTACCAATACTACTCACAACCAAACAGCGCAATCAAAGCTAAGCTTGGCAAAGTAGAAAACCAACTGGACGACATACAGAAAAAGATCGAGTCTCTGGTAGCGCTGGTCAACTCTTCTCTATCCAAGCTGACGATAATTAAGTCCAATGAGACAGACGAGAAACCTACGCCAGTGACACCACTGGGTACAGGTGGGTACTAAAGAGTGGAAATTAACTTGTATCCTAAAAAACGACGCGGCTGAGAACGAGGGCGGCTTTAGGCAACTTATAATTATAGAAATTCGATTAGTTCAGTTTGCAGAGACTGGAGTCTGTTTCGTCGGGACTCGGTACTTCAAGACGAAGTACTATATATCTCAAAAAAGCTGTGGTACATTTGTTTAGTTTTGTTTGCCATTTCTTGTTAATAGGAGTGTTGCATTGCCTTTTACAGTTAAGAAGAGCTGTGCTGACTTTTACAAATCTGGTCAAAGGAAGAGTGGTGTCTATAAAATTAAACCCGACGGTCTAGGCCCTTTTGATGTGTTCTGTGACCAGAAAACAGCCGGTGGAGGTTGGACCGTGATCCAGAAGAGATTGGATGGTTCAGTTAATTTCAACCGAGTATGGAAGGACTACAAAAATGGCTTTGGAAACCTGAATGGCGAGTTTTGGCTTGGACTCGACAAAATCCACCGGCTAACGAAAACGAAAAACAAAGTTCGGGTGGAATTGCAAGACTGGAGTGGAAATTCTGCTTACGCCGAATACAGCTTCTTCGCTGTTGCGAGTGAAAAAACTAAGTACAAAATGAGCCTCGGATCCTATTACGGTAATTTCGTAGGCACTTGTTGTAAATCATAATTCATACGTTTGAAGTTCTTAAGGAGGTAACATTTTTGCTCGACTCCTTTCGACAAGAAGTCAATATGATTTTACTGTGGTCCATTAGATTTGATCCGGGTTACGAGACGTTAAGCAGCAACAACAATTAACCCTAAGAACTAATAATTTTTTCCTTCGTTTTCCCTTTTTTTCTGGGAGAAAATACTAGTGATTCCTCTTCTAACCCAAATACTCCTTCTATCCAAATGAAGCAACTATACACGGGCACAAAGTCAGTGAAACAAATGCGATTTCCTTAGCTACGAAAGAGAGCACTTTGGAATTTAGTCTATGTACCTATTGTAGTTTTGGACCAGCATTTTTACTTACTTCTAATGCAACAACCGTAGTGGATTCCCAAACAGAGTTGCTGAAACTAGAAATTTGTCATACTTCGTTTCTGAAGCGTGGAGTAATAATTATAGCTATTTTGTTTCCTTTGGCGTATTTTCGAACCCCAACTAGCAGTATTAACAGTTTGAAATGTACCTCGTACTCTTCGAGAGGTTACTCTACAGTCTTACAGGAAAGAATAGCTTAAGGTAGGTTTTTTTGTGTGCTTTGCATTTTCAGGAAACGCAGGTGACTCTTTAGGATTTCACCGTGATTCTTTCTTTACAACCAAGGATCGCGACAACGACAAACAAGGAGGGAGCAACTGTGCTGTGAACTACAAAGGAGGATGGTGGTTCAACGGCTGTGTGACTGCTAGTCTGAATGGCATTTATTATCGCGGCAAGCACTCATCTGACCATGACGGTATTAACTGGCGCGCCTGGAAGGGACGTCACTACTCGGCTAAAAGAGCTGAGATGAAGATAAGACCAGTTGATTTCTAAAGCACATCGTTACAAGAAGCAAAGGCAAAGTAAAAGATAGGGAGTCTTCGATGTGTTTAAATAAAACAACATCTATCTTACAATTCTTGACTGTTATTTTGTTTTCCCTAGGCCGGGAAACTATTCACTTTTCAAGCCATAAAGAAAAAGCAAGACATTGAAACCCAGCAAAAGCTTAAGCATCTTCAACAACCCTTATTTTGTCCCCTTAACTTATGTCCTTCAATCATCTCATTTATGCCAGTCTGATCTCAGCAAATTGGCATTAAAACTTGAAACTGGATTTATTATTTGCTAGATGACTTCCGAAAAAGAAGTGATCAGAGGATTTTCTCCTAGTTTTTGGCAGAATTCTTGACTACTATTGAATTGTCCAACGCTTAAATTACTCATGGAACACTGATTGAAACTCTCAAAAAAATCCCATGTGGAACCAGTTTTCACTGTCCTAAAACTTTTGAAGTCTGACGGTTCGATGTTTCTTTTAATAGCGGTTCCAGAAACTGTAACTCGGCCTCAATAAGTTCTCAGAAAAAGTTGTGACTAAAACTTTACTTCCCAAAGAGTATTGCAATATCTGTTACCCAAACCACCACCAAAAATAAAAACTTTATCACCAGTTCCAACCATAGAATGTCCAACAAGTTTAGGAGCATCTCCACAACAAGTCACCTTGTGCCACTTCATCTTATCAGTGTCCAAAATGAACGCATCATTTGTAACATTTTCCCGAACTCCACTCCACGTCTCTCCACCGAAAATCAGCAAATGTTTTCTGTCAATTTCAACTGCCTTAGCGTGCTGTCTACCACTGGGTTCGTCACAAACAGTTGATTTTTCAATCAAAGTAATAATCCTTTGCTTAGGGAGAGAAGATTCGATGTGTTCTATTTTGTCCCAAGAACCGATTAATTCATAACCTCCACTATTTCGGCCTCCGAAGACAAAAAGGTGAGTCTCTTTACTTGCTCTGATAGGAATCAAATTAGCAGTGTGTCCCGAACGAGAGGAAACATGGAAAGCTGCCTCTGAGTATTTTCCTGTTTCATAGTTTAGATAAAATGCACCAGCAAATCGTCTTTGTGTGCGCACACCACCTTCCCGACCGATGATAAGGATGTCTTTATGTGAGATTAACGTTGCAGTGTGAGAGCTCAAACCGACTGGAACGTCTCCTGATACAGGAATTTGTCGCCAAAATTGTTCAACAGTGTCAAAACAACACACATCAGCACATCTTTTACGCCCATTCCAACCGCCGATTATTAAAATAAAACGATCTCTTACTACAGTCGCCGTGTGGTGGCTGACACTGGGAGCAGTGCAAAGCCTTCCTCTAGGAAATCCTGAGGAAACAAGAGCTCTACTTTGCGAGCTACTTGGCACCCGATTTTCAACCTGAGTCCAGGCATTAGAGGATATATCATATCTGAACATGTCGCTAAAAACCGTTCTGTCTTCTGCGATTCCTCCAAAAATATACAAAACATCTCCTACAACAGAACAAGAATGAAATGCACGCTTGCTTGGGGCCGTTCCTTTGGCTGAAATTGCAGAAAATTCCATTATTTGTTAATCCTATTAGACAAAGTTCGAAGCATAGTCTATCCGCCATTGAAGTCCCAGAGAACATTGCGTGACAAACACTCGCACCAGTCCTTTCTCACCTGTTGCTCACTGCAGGCGATCACAAAGTTTCCTAAACACTTTAGTGGGAGATTTTTTTCCTGCAGTGATTTATAATGCTTTGTTTAAAGAAATAACAGCATGTTTGTGGCTGAAGGAGAAAAGGTGCCAGATGGTTGTATCCTTTGCGTATGTTAAACCTTTCCTAACTTTGTTGTCGCATTCAGCGTTGTCTCCATTCGTTACCAATGACTACCGTCAACACTTTCCGCCAGGTGATCTCTCTTTGGGAAAGCAAAGAGTGTGAAAATAATTAATCATTGATGAAGTTTTAATGATTTTTATAAATCTAATCGTCGATCTTTTTATCATGTGTTTATATACGCTGGTTATGTGGTAGTTTAGTCGGCCAATCACTGTCATCACTGCTCGAACTCTCGACGGTTGACATTCGATTGCCTTATCCTATTTAAAGCGATTTATGATGTAAAACAATGAGATCGGATCGTATATGTTAGTTGCATCAAGTTAGGCGGAGCGCGCAGTAACTTTTGTTGGTGTGAACTACTCACATGAACGACCAAGAAGTGGAATGCATGAAGGATTGCGTCTTGATCCCAGCTGATCTGTAAACAGGTACCAGAGATACAATGTGTGGGTATGTGTTCCTTGTAAACTACTCAATCATTTTCAAGAAAACTAAATGTAGTGTGGGTACACTGTTCCTTAAATGGGACACTGGTTGAATAAGGAGAATGTCGGGGAAGGCTTTGTGGCTGATTTCATGCCTGTGATAGGTATAGATGTACATGCTACAAATCCAAGCCTCAGCTGTCACCCAGTGTGCACCTTCAAAGGTGCTTGACGACTGAGGCTTGAATGAGTGTCTGTAGCATGAGGTACCTAGGAATATTGTGAAGAAAGAGATATATAACTTAGTTCAGATGCCTCTATGTTTTCTTTGATTAATGGATCAGTATTGGAACTTCAAGAATCATTTCATCGTGGCGGTACCATAAAAGACATCACAGATCAAATCAGCAGTCTAAATTCCAACTTGAGTAGCTATGACTCACCAACACAGCTTGTTGTTGACAAATACATGAAAGAACATGGCCTAGAGGTGGAGCCAGAAGAGGAGGAGTTTGGATATGGAAGGCTCATGATTGATTACAAGCCTCCCAGGAAGTCGTCAACAAAGATCAGCAACAAAGGCAAGGAGGTTTTCTCCGGGGTGTGCATGTGTTGTTAGGTTGGATGGGGGTGGGCGGTGGCGGGGGGTTAAAACAGATATAAAAACATGGTAAAGGGGTAGCTAGGGTAAGAAGGGGCTGCGCCCCTCAGTTTCGGATATGTGATGAGGTCCTGTTATCTAAAGGTAAAATTCTGACAAGTGTCATGGCCTTAAGACACCAAAATTAGACGGGTATAATGGTGGCAAAGGACATAAAGATGGGTTGATATATTTGCGACAGCAGTGACGACAAGAGTAAATACAACAGTAAAATAATCAGGGCAGACATGGCCTCCTCCTCCTCACTATGTGATACCATGGGCTTTGAAATTATAGTGAAAGACTAGAGATAAATGTGTGCTTTGTTTCAGTTGCTTTTAAGTTTCATAATTATTTGATACAATATTTTTGAAAAGAAGTAAAATTTTGTTCTGTTGTAACTTATTGTCAGAGGTGGAAGCCAAAGAGGTGTCCAAGTTTGCTGGAGTTTACTCAGTACGATCAGGTGAGTGTAGAAAGAGTGAAGTACATTACTGTTGAAATTATTTTTGTCACAAATCAGTTTCATGTAATTTCGTTAAACAGGTATAATGATGGAATGATTATTAATTATTAATATATTATATTCAGCATTACAACCCAGTTCTGAGAATCCACTCATGAATACTTCCCCACAACAGTCTCAATTAATGGGCTGGAAAAAGGCTTCAAAAAAGGTATGAATATAGTCAGTATTGTTCTTTGCAACTCAAGTACAGTGAGACTGTACAGTGTTGTACATGTATAAAACAGTGCTGTGACTAAGTTTTCAAGTTGCCTGGTAAATACAACAAGTAGGCAGGGAATCAAACTAACTACGGATTTCTTTTGGTTCTATTTTTCTTCTATTTCCCTTTTAAAGAAGCCAGGGGCCATGTTCTTAGTAGCCGGGGTAAATCCCCGGCCCCTGCCTCTTAATGACAGCCCTGATAAAACACAGCATGAATTGTCAGATGTTGTTTCTGATAAGTAAAAGAATAAAATATTCTTTGTAGAATACTGTTTAATAATCATTGGACGTGGCACAGTGGATGTTAAGGTCCAGGATTCCAGCTAGGGCTGTATGTACCTGTAGTGTATTATGTAAAGGTGCACAGGAGTCAAGGAGGCCCACTTGTCTCCAGCTCTACCCACTTTCTATGGCATGAAGCATTAAGTCACCTATTGACAACAGCAAAATACTGTATAACCCATGACTCTTAAACATGTACATGATCTTATTATCTACCCCATGCACAAATCATTTCAGAAAGGAAAGAGCTCAAGTATGAAGCCAATGCTGGTGGAGGTATTGTTACTTTTAATTCTTTGACTTTTTTATACATGTGATTTGTTCTGTCTGATTGTGGCATATTTGTAGTGGCCAGCAGATCTACAGAATAGCAAGGGGGCAGGGAAGGGGGATGGAGGAGGCAAGGAAAGTGCCCCACCCTTTTCCTCTCCCAAAAGGATTCAAAGCCCAATATGGGTTTGACTTAATTGGGACTCATTTTTTTTCACAAAATTCTTCTCTCTGTCCAGCACCTGTGATGTATAGACAATGCTGCCATTCCTGATATTACTCTAATGAGAATAGCTTTTTTTTTTGTTGACGATTATTATTTTTTCGTTGTTATGTTTAGTTGCATGTTTATCCAGGGTATGAACCAGATGAAGTCACTCCTCTCCCTGAACCTTTTCAAGCAAAAGAAATTCTGTCAACAGTATTAAGTGCTCAGCGGGATCTCAGAAAGAAAGTAAGATCATGATAATATCAAGCTGTTGTACATAAGTATTAATATATAGATGTACAGTGTGTTCAAGTTCATTAGAAAATAAATCAAAATGATTCCTTGGTATGTATCATTATAGTAGTATGTGAAAAAAATAATGTCATCATACAGTTTATAATGGTAATAGGACTGAGTGGAGTCCACTTCAGTCTGTTATCTCATGAGTGATAAACACCCGCCCAAATTATTTGTTTAATCAGGAGTAGGATTACAGACCGAAGTTCTGTTACCAACTAGTCATAACTGTAACAAAATTTGTGATATTTTAGGCCTTTTAAATCAAAACACAGGAAATTTTGCAAGCAGTGAAAAAAATGCCATTTAAGCACATGCATGCAATGGCATATACTGTCCAATTACACTGTCCTATAAGTGCTGCAATCAGGACAGCTGATAGCCAATCAGATTTGAGAATTTTGTTATACAGGTAATTATGGTTAAATGTATAATAGACATTTGCCATTAGTTATCCCAGAATGAGCAATACTGTTAGTGCAACAAATGTTGAACAGATATTGAAGCCAAACCCAAAGAACTTGTTTAAATTATAATAATGCTGAATAGTGCATGTATACATTTGAAGAAAATAATGCTTGACGGTCTTATTCTGTTTCAGCCATCTTTTAAGCGTGAGTTTCAGTCATTTATGTTTGCCAAAACTTCTGAGGACATTCTACAGGTATGGAATACCTGTAAACAGTAATGTAGGTGTAAAAATGAAGAAAACCATGAGAATCAAAGACATAATATTCTCACCATATACCATGGTTCATTCAATCCATTTACTGTTAGTCTTAAAACTGTGTAAAGTTAAAGTTAAAATACATGTATTATATAGATTATTTTAAAATACCAAACACGTGACAAATGTCAAAGTATAGTAACTTACACCTCAGATTCAAAAATAAAATTAATTTAGAACTACCCTGCATGTCCCCCCGATATTGAATCTGGGATTGAAAAAGGTAAACATGATGAATCTCTGGGCATAAAATAAATGTATTGTCATGATGTTTACAATCTACTTATTTACTTTCAGGACTTGTTTTGGTGGTACTTCTTGGAAAAGTATCAGGTGGGTGTAACCATAGTTACTACAGTGATTGGTAACTGACTCTTTCCCACTACTTTTGAGTGGTTTGCTCTATACAATGTACACTGTATGGTTAATGCTGTCACCTGAATTTTTGTCCAGCCCAACAGGAATATCCAAGAAATGTTGTTTAACCGCATTGCCCACAATTATGTGAAGATGCTGTTTACAGCACCTGTTACACAGTACAGGGATAAGTTTCTGAAGGTAGGCATTTTTAACCTGCCCATTCACAGCCAGCATGCCAGGCGTTTGAAGGGAAAGGAAGAGGAGGGTATGGCTGCGAGAGCATGTTCTTGGGAGCCTTGATTCCTCCTTTCCCTACCCTTCACAGGTTACCCAGTGCATGCACTTCTGCACAAATAAACGTTTGGCAAAAGTAGCCAAAAACCGTTCTGTGTGATCTAAAACACAAAAACACAGGCCAGCCAGGCTCTGTCTCAGTGAGAGGATTGAATCGTAGTTTCATCTCTAGCATAAGACATTATCTGCTAGACTTCAACCTTGGGGTCGAGTGGACCACTCACCAGGTTGTATAGACTTGTAGCATATCTGTAGGCATAACCCTCCCCGGTCGCATTTTTCTGGCACTCCACACCCACTTCATGCGTGCTTTTCACTCGCCTGAAAAACGCGCAAAAATGACGCTTGTTCTGCCTGCCACTGTTGGCAGAAAGCTCAGACTGGTGCTTCAGTCAATTTATGGTGGGTACATTGTACCGCATAAAGGTTCTGGGGCCCGTTTCTCGAAAGTCCCGATAATGAACGGGCCCGGTAAGCTGTGTACGTTTACATTAAAGATCGAGGTTTCAACAGTTTTGCATCTAACATGATAAAACTATCAGTTAATGAGACGAAATGGAGTAGTTTGCTAGCTTGGACCCGCGATCTTATTCTTTATATTTCGATTTGAATATTTGATTTCGGGCCCGAAAAGTTACCGGGACTTTCGAGAAACGGGCCCCTGGGCCCTACTAAAGGGACATAAAAAGTTAAAATCAAAAATTGATACCCTCTTGAGGGCCCTAAACTGAAAGATGACACGTGCACATGGTGGACAAAACTTTTTTTTCAGGTTTCAAATCGTTTTGTTGAACTATAGATCAGTTTTTCTGGGATTTTAAGAGCAAAAACAATTTAAAAAACCCTTTGGAAGGGTCAAAATACCAAAACAATTACCCTACATGTACGTTAAGACTGAGCACCTAAAATCTACTCTATTCCACGGCCTAAAGCTTACCCACCCCCATCTCCCGGATTTTGTCTTCCTGACGTCAGATCTTTTACTTAAGATTGTATTGTTCTGTTATTTCAGCGGTTCCCTAACGTCATGGCTCAAGCTGTGTACTGCACATTTTGCACAGCATTTCCAACATCGTACAAGCAGTTTGGAGATGAATTCAAGGAAGAACTGGTTCAGTTAATCCATGAATGGATCGCTGGTGGGTGTTTTTATCAGTGTTCAGGCACGTGTAACAGATAACGCAAATTTTATCAGCGCTGCAAATAACAGTGGGTCATCGGACAATGTCGGACTAAAATTTGCGCACGTCCGACGAAATCGTACCCGCAGTCGGACGTGGGGTTTGTCCGAGTAAAACGGTTACTCCGTCGGAGATACGTCCTTTCTAAAAAGGAAAAATTTACGATCTACAAAGGTTGTTTCTTTAATAAAGAAACCGGATTTTACACGGGAAATGTAAGGAGACTTGGACTTTGCTCAGCTGTGAACTCTTTTGTAGACTATAGACGCCAAAAACTACCACTGCACCCTAATCTAGATGTTCGTCTCCAGACTAAACCCAACCAAACTGTTTGATTACATACCCTGTCCCTGACTAAACTACTTGTAAGCCACACCCATAGCGGTTTATACCTAGAGCTTATAGACAAGGGCTACCCCCTCTCGCATTCGTAAGCAAACGCGTCAGAAATTATATCGACTCTATATCGCCCAGAAAAATGCCTCCTCACTTTGCTACAGTAATCGAAAAAGTTAAGGAAGTTTGATGTATGCTATGATGACCTGTTTTGGTACACTTTCGTAATCCCTCAAAACTGGGTAAGCAAATATTTCCTGATGTGCTACAAAATGTAGAAACAGAAAGCCATGTATGACTTTACAACTTTTTCATTAGGAACCAAGCCTGTTCCAAGAATCTGGGACAAGTGGAATTTTAAGGGACTGGAACCTAAAGATATGCGGAAAGATGAGCAAATCAAGCAGGATGCTTCGAAAGGTGTTTTACAAGCTTCTCTTCTTAAGCACTCAACTGCAGTAGACTTAGAGACAGGCTTACACGTACGTTCCATCCACCAGTACTAGTCACTGGCGGATCTAGGGAAGGGGCCTGGGGGGCCCGCCTCCCCCTCTCTTACAGCTGTATTTTGAGACCAAACTGAAGCCCGAAGGGCCAAAAAATTTTTGTTGAGACCGCCCCCCCCCCCCACCTTATCTCATTGTCTGGATGACCGCCCCCCTTATCTCATTGTCTGGATGACCGCCCCCCTCCCTTATCTGAAGGTCTGGATCCGCCAATGCTAGTTGCTACTCTTGAACTTACTCGTTTTCTGCACTGTACTTTACGAAAAATAATTACAAATAGTTTATATGAGTTTAAAATTAATTGAGAAAGTCGTACAATGCAACTCAGGCTTGATATAACTCAGAACATACCATTCCAGCTGTTATAGACTGCGAGTAGTCTCTCATAGGTTTCTGGGAAACTGCCACCTACCCCTCCCCCAAGCCATCATTTTGCCCTAAGTAAGAAGTGTTAATGTTAGCTTAGGGGAGGGGTAGATGCACAGTTTCCCCAGAAACCTAAACTGATCCTATTTTTCTTCAGATTTAGTGAGAGGAGCGCGGCACCCGTCTCAGTTGTTCAGTCACGCGCGTGGTCATTTTCGTGTCTCGCGCGTTTCGCTCGACAGACTAAGAAAAAAGAGAGACTGCTCGTAGTCTAAGCTCCTATGTTACTTTGATTCTTTACACTCCTCATTTAAGGCAACTTCAACTTAACCTCAGCCTTAAGAACGTAGAACAAGTCCACCTAAACAAAGCTCAACTGAATACAGTATTATAGTACTAGTATATCGTAACAAGAAAACCAAAAGTGCCACTGCGTTCATCGTAGTGTCGAACTAAACAGAATTGTAAACACAGAAACTGCAACTGAAGCGACGTCGGACATGTGCATTTGATTACGGCTGTACTTGTAGCTAGGGGGAATTGATACTTACTTTCTTGCCTTGTAGGTTCTTTGGTTTCACTTCCAGTTGAACTCTCTGAAGAGAACTTATCAAACCAAACCAGCCTGTCTTCAGTCGGTTACAAACTGAGCCAGAAGTCCTTACCTTTGATAGTAGAAGAGAAAGCTACAGCCACAAGTCTTTCCTCTCTTGCTCAGGTATGGAACCGTTTTACCTTGCCTACAAATACAGCCGTTTCTCCTGGCTCCTCGCCGATAGGAACGTTTCGCGGTAGTGAGTATACGCCCAAAAACTGGTACCATAAGTTTCTTCAAGGAGAGTTGTGGGTTATAGGCGGCTATTGTAGATCAAAACCTCGAGATTTTAAAACATGTGCAAGTTAGCTGCGTTGTCTGGTGCGAAAGTCCCGATAAAATACTCTTTCCTCGTGTTTATGCAAGATTCGAAGATAAGTTAACTGCTGTGTCAAAACTTCAGCAACAATCAGTTTAAAAAGCCAATAATAGTGAAACTCGCAAATTCGTCACTTAAGACAGGAGAAGGGAACTGGGCCGAGTTTACTTTCGCAAAGACTTTTGGGAATGTTACTAGGGACATTGAAAATCATTGGAACAGCTTATCGACTAGCCTCCCACGCAGGCGACGAAATACGAGCTCCCCTAAAAACGCCTGCGTGGGAGGCTACTTATCGACGAGTCCCGAGTGACGATCCCAGAGACAATTGGGCGACGCGTTTCGGCTCAGTTTCCTCAGTTCTCGTTTGAAAAGTACTTGTAAATGATGTAATGAAGTCATACTTTACCTACAGGGGCGAGACGTCAGGAGAAAGTCAATCGCGGTCAAAAAAGGGTCACATATTGGTAACGTAACGAACAATGAAGAGAGTTGTGATACTGTTAATCGGCTCACTGTGTGTCACGCAAACGAGGAAAAGGAGAGTTCTGCGTCACGGTCACCTTCCTTGAACCGTCTCCAGGCAAAGGTGTCGTCATTCACCGCATTTACTGGTGTCCACAAGGCGAATCAAGCGGAGAAACGTAGGGAGGTAAATAAAGTATTTGTAATAGCAGTTAATGTTGTCTTCAGCATTGAATGTAGTCACAAGAAATAAAGTGTTCTTGTAGTCATTACGGCCATTCTGATAGCAGGCCTAACCTCTGATTTCGGAAAAGCCAACGAATACTGTAGATAAGGTGAGCCGAGTATTAACGACCAGCCGAGCACAGACGGTTATTTCTTAACTTATATATAATTATATGTTGTAGGTAAAAACCTTTCTGAGGTTAAACGACAACTTTCTTTGTCTTCTATGTATAACAAGGGCAGGGAAACAAAGCCAATTGTGATTCCAACTAGGGTGTATACTGGTTTAACCTGAAAACACGCTGTTTGAGTGGTTACCTGAGTGATAAGCTCCAAAAATTACAGAATCGTGCAGCCAGAGTTATTACTAAATCACCCTTTGATACGAGCTCAAACCACCTTCTCTCCACCCTCGACTGGGAGAGGCTATCTCTTTGACGAAAGAAACAGAAAGCCTTAATGATGTATAAAACCATGATTGACCTTGCTCCGGAATATCTACAAAGTATTTTCACTCAGTCTCACTCTGCTTACAACTTGAGAAACTCTGAGGGAAAGCTGAGCCTGTCGAAACCAAGCACCAATTATTTGAAACGAAGCTTCTCTTACACCGGGGCCATGTTATGGAATAACTTGCCCAAAAGCGTGAAAAATACTGCATCTGTTGAGCATTTAAGCGAAATATCAAGAAGGTAGCTGTTATATCGGACTCCCACAAGGCAATCATGGAAAGCAGTTGTAATTAGTTTTAGTTTTTAACTTAAGCTTAACTGATGATTTTCCGTATATAAGTAAAGGTTTACATACATATATACCACAACATAATACAACTTACGTTTGCGTTATCTGAGGAAACACATCTGGCTTCTTGACTAGTTTACTGATACCATTTTCATATATAGAGGTATTAAGAACGGTTTTACCATGCCTCTTTGACTCCTTTTTCCCTCTTCAGTCATGTCCTGTTGGGAGAGGTCCAGAGTTTTCTCGCTGTGTGTTTGACGTTTATGGCCACAGTCCGCTTGTGGAACAGTTTCTCAAGATGCAGAAATTATCCAAAGATTCAGGGACGTCTGTTTTAATGCAGAGAACAGAAATCAAGTCCCTTCCACCATATCCTTTTTCGCAAATAAAGTTATCCCTAGCCCTTCCCCCCAAAACAAAAACCCTTTAGAGCCACTACGGATAGATAAACTGCTAATCCTTAAAACCCTGAGACCACGTATCACATATCTATTGAAAAATGTCCTCTGGGGTGGGGTGCACTACAAATCACACCAACCATTGGCTGAAATGAGGATGGCGTCAGGAAACTCAGAGGTGTCCAAAAAATATGCCGGTCTTTCAGTGATTTTTTTCTGTGGAAATTTTAGACAATTCGATTAAATAATGTGACCTTGATGACATCTTGTGGCTTGTGGCACTCTCGGGGTCACATATTCTTGACTCCTAAAAAGGACGAAGCTATAGCTGTTAAGAAAAAGAGGGAGACCGCATGTCTCATAGGAATGCAACAAAGTAGAGGGGCTGGGCGTGGCCTGATGCCGTTAAGAGTCAGAAGATAAGCCATATCCCAGTTACCTCAAGCCTCTTCGTGAAAACGAGTGTAAGTGCGAAGTTTTTGATATGAAAAGACCTTTTCAGTTGTCATGCAAATGAAACCCATTTATCTAGTTCTGCACTTAGCCTCACTGAAGGTGATATTTTGGAAAATTTGTTACACATCTACTTCCTTGACTCATTCTCACATTATCCGCTCCAACTTATCGAGAGGTGATTCGAAAGTCACTAAAGGCCTCACAAGCCATAACAAGTGATTTTAAAAAGTGAGTAATTTTGCCATTCTTTGTTTGATTTCCAGTTGCACGTATCGCAATAGAAGTACTAGTGTTCTTGACAAACGTTAAGCCTCTTAGAAAACGCTTCGTTGAACTTTTGAGGCATTAACAAGGAAGGAAGGTGAAAGGAAGGAAAGAAAGCACCGGGCATTGGTAGGGGCGAAATCTGTCTCAGGGGTATCCCTGGGGTATGTCTTGTTGTAGTCACCACAACAAAAACCAAACGCAATTTCCGTTCCAGTAACGAGATCAAAATAGATGATAAGACAGTAAAATTAGGTCGTTGATCTTGTCTTTTTCTCTCTTCCTGAACTGACACTGCCCCACACTGCTGTTTTAAAAGAGAAAAGGACTTAAGCCTGACTCCTGTGGCCTTTCGTCAATATCACTTCACTTTACGTCGCTTTACTACGCGTATCAAAGGTTGTGTGGGTATCATATGACCATTCTCAACTTCAACCAGCGCAATATCTCCATGATGAAATACATTTTGTTCTTGTTAACAGACTTCATGAAGAGAATACTCACCAACGAACTTTGTTTGTGCGTAAACAGAAGCAAGCCAATTTAGACTTCACCAGGTACAGTGTACTTGTACAAAGTGTGACGGGAATCAATTCAATCTTCCGTGGCCTCTCGTTACCCTTTCACCTTCTAAGAATGACCCAAGCCAAAATCCATGAAATATTCCATTCTCTGTTGTAAACTACTGTAACTCAAATGGTTTCACACGGAAGCTCTGCCTGAAAGGTTTTCTTGTGAATGGCTCCACGGTGGGATTTTGTCCAAAGATTCAAAAGTTGGAAAAGTATTCCCCTTGTTCGTTTAAAAACCTAACCAGTCCAAACCTTAAATTCCAGAAAGTAAGTTGCCAATTAGACTTTCAAAAAAGTCCTTCATCGGATTTCATTCGTCGGACTTTGTCGTACCTCTCGCGACTTCGTCGCTCGCGAAGGGCCTAAAAAGGCTCGCTTCGGTCGCCAAGAGGTCGACTTGTAGCAAGTCTAGTTGCCAATAGTCATTGTACCATTCACGTGGTACAAGTCGCCGTGCTTGAAGTGCCAGCGACGCGGTGGGACAAGGCACACAAAAAGCTCATATCATTTAACCGTTTAAGCGCTAAGAGTGATCAGCATCAAATTTCTCCTTGTAATATCAATGCTTTATAAAACAGAGTGGTCATGAGAATTACGGACATGATCACACAAGATGAATTTGCTTGATATTTGATCAACTTCTTCCCACTACTTCTGTAGGAAATGAATAGGGGAAACAAACGAGATCTTAGTGTTTAAAGGGTTAAAAAGATAATTTCCTTTGTTTGTCGTCTCCTGCTCTCCAGCGTGGCGGTAAAATTTGTACCAGGGGTATGACTAGATGCAATGGGCCTATTAATTTGTTTATTTTATACTTTGTGTGTTTTAGACGGGAAGGAGAGTTGTTGTCACGGCAAAAAGACGTAAAGAAGATCAGTGAACTGATATATCTTGAGCTCACGGTGAGGATGTTACCTGTTTTTTGAAATTGTACAGTTCGAGAATTCCCCACTTCAGAAACTTTATAGCGAGAATGAGTTGGGATCGTTTCGAATCGTTTGGGTAGACGCCCGAATTGGTTGATGGTATTTAAGGCAACTATGAACCAATCGTTAGAAACGCTTGTCCACCCAAACGATAGTCTGCTACACAGCCGTTTTTAGTGTCGTCACGCAACGCTCCTCCCCACAGCCGGTAGTGGGGAGGAGCGTTGCGTGACGACACTAAAAACGGCTGCGTAGCAGACTACCCAAACGATCCCAGAAATCATTTAGCGAAAAGCTTGTACCCATTCCCTTTTTAGTTCCTGGAAGGAGGAATGGCGTAGCCTGCGTCGTAGACAGTTTAAATCTTAGTCTCGAGTGACAAGTCCGGCTTTTACGCAAGCTCAGAATGGCGGTGAGAATTATCAAGGACCTACTTGACAAAGTGAGATTTAATTCGAGTATGATTTTCTCTGGCTAAGTGGAGATTCCTCGTCGAGTTTATCGATACTATAAATTACTTTCATCGTTGCCGGCGTTGCCTTCTAAGAGAAAGTGAATGGTTCACGCGCGTGCATTTCCGTAAGTACTGACAAATCTCGTAATCGTTGTCGTACTCGTCGTAGAATCTAAAGAATAGCAACAATTGAAAGTACTGTTAAAGAAATTCGCTTGAATGGTCACACTCTAGGGTTACATCCCCGAACCCCGCCCAAAGTTTGAACTACGTTTATGTCTTTCCAGTTGACACTGTAAGTGAAAGGGCTAATTGTGGTGTCCTTTCCGTGCTAACGGGTCTCTTTCATTTGACTAATATTCAGAAAGATGGAGATGAACAGAGTAGCGGCAAGGTTGCGGCGGCCGTTGCCTCGGCGATGGGCTATGGAACAGAGAATGAAACCAAATGAGCGGTTTGTCAACGTTTCCTTGTTGAAACAAGTTTTGCTAGGACTCGAACGAATCCCAAGGGGCCTGTTATGGGACATCTGGTTTTTGCTAGTATTTAATGCAAAGCTTGTTTTGAACGACTGTACTGCTCTGAATTATTTGCTATTTGTTGTAAATACATGTATATATCCAGAGTGTTTATTTTTCTAAGTTATTTAACGATGGCTTCGTACATTATTAAAAGTATATCTACAATAATAGTCTGACTTGTTTTCCTTGACCTTGCTTTCGCTGTTTTTGTCCAGTTTTTAATAGAACTCACACTGGGTGCCAGAGACGTTTCACGCGCGGTTTCTTGTTTCGGTCAAGTCTATAGTGAGCCCGATCGCCAAAAACCTCTGGACCTGAGCGATATTCCTTTGATAGCGCTGGGGCAATTCGACCCTTCTTATACGAAAACATCCGAAATCTGGTTGATTTACGACTCATAGTAGCCATCACAAACTTTCCTTGGAACTGTAATTTTATCTGATTTGAGGACAATTTTCTGTATTTACTCATGAAACTGCCTTACCGTGCAGCCATCATCAATCTAGGTGTCTGTTAACTTGTTCCAGTACAAACAGCCTGAAGTGTAAACAGCAAACAGGTACTCCACAGACCTGTAAATGATATATGCAATGCTAAATATTCTGTCCCGTTGAAATATTTTAGCTGATCTCCAACTCAAAACCTTCTTGTATTAAGCCCATTGCTTTAGTATTTGAGTGACCAATCCACAGATAATAAATTAACAATTTCTCTGAGAATCCGCGTTGGGTACGAGGTGGTATGGAGAGTGTTAACCGCCCTTGATTTCATAATTCTTCAGATCAGACTCAGCATCATCCAACAATGGCTAATTAATATTCACTATAATCACTCTGTGTCTTCTCACCGGCTAAGAGCCTACAGTTAATTCAAGAAAACAGTTAGCCTGAGTATCAGATCTTCCTTACGGGCTAAGGGAGAGGAGATTTTAAAGGGCGGGGTGGGGAGGGTGAGGATTTTCTCCTTTTGCATTATCCCTTTTTCCCTTCTCTCTTCCCCCTTTCCTCCAGAAACGCCTGATACTCAGACTAGTAATCAGTGCACTCTTGCCTAATCCCTGTACGGCGTCTACCCAGGCCATCTCGGTCAATGCATTTAGGTGACGAATCCGAGACGAACTTAAACCACGTGACCCAAAACGCATAGGCCGCGCGGAATAATGAGGCCTAGGGACTAGACAAAGTGCACCCTACAGATTTTTTACCATCTACTAACAGACAGCAAGTAATCTGTAGGCTATGCGCGCATTGTGTAATTTCCAAGAGCGTATATCTTCATTTCTATTGGTTTTAATATCACGGAATTGATCAATGTAGGGAAAAAGGAGAAAACAACAATAAGCACGTAATTAATCGTCAAATCATATGACCTGAAGTTGGTGGCAAAGCTACAGACCTTTGTTCTGTAGGAACTTCAGCTCCTGACACTGTTCCATTGTACTCAATGATCACAAAATATTCCCCAGCGGTGGATCCATTAAACTCCTTGTCGCTAAAGAATAACACTTTAGGATCCCCAGTTCCCTCCTGTTGAAAGCAATGAGCAAAAGAGACCAAAATCTTTGTAATACTATACACGCAGGACTACAATCGGCAACAAAATGAGTTGAGACACTTCGCCCTAAACTGGGCTTTTTTACGTTTTACTGACTTCAAAAGGAGGAAATATAGCTTTTCATTCCCCATCCCCTCCATGCAATGTTGTTCGAGCTACCTACAGAAAACAACGAACACCCCAACTTTGAATGGAGGGGGCAGGGGAGGGGTGCGGATTCTTTTGTTCTCCGAAGTTACCCCTTTTGAGTACAATGTCTCAACAATTTTGTCGCCGATTGTAGCTATAAAGTCAAACCTCCTTAATACGGACTACAAAGGCAAAAGCCAGGTATCCCTATTTCAGGTGTCCTCATTATAGTATATCTAGGACCAAGAGAACTGTCCGTCATAAAGAGGTATCCGTATGGAGAAGCTTGACTGTATTTCTAGTTTAATACAAGCTCTGTGATTGGTTAGTTTAGTGCGCCTTACTGCACGGAACGGTTACTCGATTCAGACCCCCAAGACATTCGATAAATATTTTTTTAAAACTTTAAACGTTACCAATCTTTTCTTTTTTCAAAACCATTGAATTATGAAGATTGAATGTAAAAACTGTAGTCGTACAAAAAGTCGTCTTTCCAATCCGAATTCAAAATTCTATTTTTGAAATTGACGTTATCATTGTATTGTTAAGACCACAGTCTAAAGCAAGCAACTTAAAAAAATTGAAATTCAACAAGCATCAATCGTACCTCAATGCCATTAGTTTATCAAAGTGATAAGCTGCATTGAAAGATACACTAATTTAAATGCTACCTCACCTCATTGGTGTAATAACTGACGTTTTTCCTTTTGTCAAGAAGGAATTGGGGAATGACTCGCACTTTATCGTTTTCCTCTCCATCCATAGTTGGCCGTCGCCCTTTTCTTAGATACACCACTAATGATGGCTGCTCAGTAAAGTTCCCAAGCACATCTACCTCTATGTTGATTGTGCTCTGATTGTGCGTCACAATAAAGCTATGCTCCAGTGTTTTGGAGTACTCTACTTTTCCTTTGGACGTTTTTAGAGGGTCGCTCCCTTTCCTTATCCTCAAGTCCACCGGTTCAGTCAGATTGACGATTTCCAGCTCTGTTTGCGTGCTGTAATTGCGTATGTCTAACGAGATCATGTGACTATTGATAATGCTGACTGAGTTAGTCCACACAAATGGGAGAATAGGTGTTGACATGGCCTGTTATGAAAAAACACATGAAATTTACACGGTAAATTCCTTTCTATAGAAAGAAGCGTGACGTCACGTTAGCATGGTAGCTAAGTTTCTAGATCTCAACAATCTTTCTTGACAGAGACATTTGCATTGTCGAATGATGGAAGAAAAGTATCGGAGACCGTTTCCTTTCTTAGTGCAAACATGCAAAGGAGAGTCATATGCGTCAATTTGTTTGTTTGTTTGTTTTTTTTTCTAACTTAAGACAAACAAACAAACAAAACATTCGGCTTAGAATATGGGACCTGTGCGCGGGTCCCGCGAGTTAACCACTGATTCGTCAAAGCATCTTTTAAAGAAATAAACAACTTTGAAGTTCGTTTTTTACTTATGTTGTCGTTTAATTATATCCTTGGCAAGAACGTTTTTTTCTAGGCAAGGTTACGTAAGAAAAAGAACGTGAACCAAGGGGAAATAAAGATAAAATTGAACCATAGTATTTGCATTGCGGACCTACGCAGTTGATGGGTATTAAGACGTAAGTCATCAGGAAATTGAGTAAATTCAATTTTCAGTGGAAAAAAACCTTCCACCAGAATAACTGAAACAATATCGCATTCTTTTTTACATTTTTCAAGGGCTATAGATATAATTAGTTATCGGTAATTACACTAAGTTTTGTCTACTGAAAATTAAAATTACTCAATTTCCTGATGGATTCCGTCTTAACTCATGAAGTCCCAAGAATGACCAACATCAATTTTCTCTATAACAAAATAAATGCATCATCAAGAGAGAAGGTAATGAGACTTAAAGTGATCACCTAGAAGAAAATGCTTTGATCTTATACAAACCCTAACACCAAGTTCTTTACAGAAAATATATGAAGATCATTGTGGAAAATTTGTGTGTGTATATTGAGGCTTAAAGGGGCTTAAATTAAGTCCTTAACAACAACAATAGTTTAAAATTTTGACTGTACCAGAGCATCGATAACAAACAAGGCGGATTTATTTCCCTCGATCAAAAGATCCAGCGGCCCAAAGTCCTTGGGTAGGTTGACCACACCCAGGCCGCAATGCAAGCCACGTACCGCGAATCCCTCGCGATAGTCCCGGTTAAGAGTGAAGTAGAGTGACGGAGACCGCACTTGAATGGGCTCTTCTCGTGGAAGGGTGTGGCTACTCGAATAAGAGTCTGACAGAATTCGGAAGTACTCTAAAGTGTTCTCCACCAAAGCTCTACCCTGAAAGAAATTAAGACAGACAGAAGAGGAACGTATGACACAATCCGTGAAAAAAAATCATACACAACTAAAATAATAAAGTGTTGTAATTGTAACAATGGAACTTCCACGCCTTGAATAAACACACTCCACAACTAGACAAATTTACACAGGACAGAACTGAGTAAATTAACAGTTTTTAACATTATCTGTTCACAACCAAATAAAATAGCCGCAAGGCCTAAGAGATAAAATGAAAGAATTTCCGACAGTCCATTATTGTACACGTCGTATTACGCCACAATGACACTTTTGGGGATGTTTGAGCAACTTCCTCGCTAAGCGAGAAGGTACCAAGAGTCATCACTTACAACTTCGTCTTCACTTCTTTAATCATCTTTAACTTCTACAGCAAACAGCCACAGAAGGACAAAAGTGTTGAGACACTTCTATAAAATGGCCCCTTTTTTGTAGACTCTCTAAAAGTCCTTATTTTTTTCCTGGTTGGTTATGATGCGACCTCATTCATTGAAGCTCGCTTCGCTCACTGTTAAGAACTCATAAGAGGTCGACTTGTAACAAGTCTACTTTTATTTGCATAGTGGACAAATCTATCGCCTCTCCCTGTGTACAACATCATATTTTAGACCCTCACGTCTTTCTTCTACTACAAACAACATTGATTCGGGGGTGCGGGGATTTACGGCGGTTAAACAGAATAAAAAGAAAAAAGAATGGAATGGTTGATAAAAGGGCGCGTTTTAGATAAGTCTACTACTATTGTCCTTGATTGTAGCTCCTACTAATCACTAATGACTCCTACTCACTAACAAGGCAAATAGTAGCGGTTTTAATGGCCAAACTTAGACATGTTTAGGTTAGCTGACAGAATGATATTTAATTGCGCAATGCAAAACAGAAGAATGACCACTAACGGCGTAGGTTTACCAAATATAAGACCTCCAGTATTGACGCCCTACAGTGACGGTAGTTTCCTCGTTAGTTTCAAAACTTGTTATACAACTAAGCCTAAAAGCGGAGTCAGTCATTCCTGTTTAATCCTACATTTTCCTGAAACAAACTTTAAACCATTGCCAAAACAAAAAATTCCCAAAGCTGGCGACTTGATTTTACCTTTATAACAATACTTCCAACAAAGTAGTTGATACATAATAACAAAGCAATACACTTGAAAATTTTATTAAAACACAGGGACATAAAGAAAACAAGAAATGATTTAATTCATAAACCTCTTTCAACGGTGATTTCATAATACTTTGAAGGATGGAATAGCTTTTTGTACAGAAATTATGAAAAAGCACTCATTTGATTACCCGGTGGGAAGTTGAGTTCTTTTTGTATAACAACCGACCTAGACAAAAAGATGAAGAATTTCCTTCTTTCCGCGCTCTTTAAATCGCGAAGTGATAAGTTTAATCTCCCTCTTTTACTTTTTGCAGTGAAACACCAAGCCATGTTTACTTTTAAAAATTTCAGATTATAAGCACAATGAAAGCAAAGCGAACTAGACTTACTCCAATGCAGAAAAAAGACAATTTACTTTAGCTTCCGCGGCAAAGTATAGTACTTTTAGAGCATATTGCAAAAAATATGACCATTAACTAGAACGCCTCCGGCATATCCTAAGTAATAAAATTTTGAGCCGGCATAGCGGCATGGGCACCGTATTGCGATAAGACAATAAACAGCAGACTACCCATACAGGGAACTAGTCTAGGGGCTTAAAAAGGTTCTCAATAGCCAAAAAGACAAAAGAATACCCCCCTTTAGTTAGTGAACGCGGACTGATATAAAAAAAAGTAATTCCATTTAATTTTCTTTCACCTTAATTATCTAGAGTTGTGAAACCGAATATTAGCTTAGTTCAATTCAAAATAAATGAAGCTAATCCTCATTGATCTTCTGATAAAGGAAAGAGTTGTTTATATTAATCATCAAAAACTGCAGGTTATTAAAACACAGCACAGTTAGTTGTAAATTCAAATAAAGTTTTCAGTAAATGCCTTTAAAACTAAGAAGCACGCTCAGTTTTGTAAACCGTTTTATTAATTTGACGCTGAAATTCAGCAACTTCATCGTAGAATCATGTGATTTGCAAATTAGGTTTTTGTCTTTTGCAGTATTTATTACTGGGGAGACTGAATGACGGTTACAAAGAGCAAGGTAATGAACGTGAAAGTTACAATCTTAGAATCATTTCCGTCAGCTCATCGTTGAACACGTCACAATATGGCAAAATATCAAATCAACGCCCGCCATCAGTCGGCGGAAAGGAAAATAGTAGTAATATTAGCAAAAGTTAGTAGTTTTTAGGCGAATTTTCTTTTTCTTTTTATCTTTGTACATTATATAAAGGAGACTTGAAAAACGATGACAACAAGAATAATTACGCTATTACGCGATGTTTTTCATCATCCTCGTCTTATATAGGAGTGATGATCCACTTTAAATTTCAATTATGCCGGACTGCTGGGTGTAAAAACGCACAAAGCAAACATCTCGGCGCAAACATTACAAACCTTATATTCGAAAAAATACCGGGATGGAAATAAATTTAGATCATTTAAATACGTATTTTTCAGAATGCGCACGACAATAAAATATTACTGGTTACGAGAAAACGACAAGCATTAAAGAAAGTCTTTTCTTTGTAGTATCAGTAGCTGGACAGGTAAACGACCATCTTATATTTCTTTCAGTGCTGCATTCCTTTTTGTCTGTTACTGCAGTTGTGGGCAACACTCTGATCCTAATCGCTCTCTACAAGGAAACTTCACTTCATCCGCCGTCCAAACTACTCTATCGTAACCTCGCAGTGACTGATATATGCGTTGGCATCATTCTTGAACCGCTTGCTGTTACGTATTGGATAGCTCATTTGACTGAACGATGGACTGTTTGGCGCTACGCACTCGACTCAAACTTAATCATCAGCTATATTTTATGTAGCGTGTCTTTGCTGACAATGACTGCCATAAGCGTGGACCGACTTCTCGCCTTGATGCTAGGTCTCAGATACAGACACGTTGTGACTTTGAAAAGAACATATGCATCGATAACCATGTTTTGGGTTGTGTCCATTGTAGGCGCAACGATGTACTTTCTGAATCCCCTAATTACTTCATGGTATGAAAAAATTGGTATATCATTATGTCTGATCACTTCAGCCTTCTCTTACACAGCCATTTTTCTCACTTTGCGTCACAACAAAATTCAGCTCGATGGTCATGTTTCTCAAAAAAGATCGAGTCAAGCAATTCCACTGAACATAGCTCGGTACAGAAAGGCAGTGTACAGTGCACTGTGGGTGCAAGTAACATTGGTTGTTTGTTATCTGCCGTATGGTATAGCGGTAGCTTTGAAGCCTCGAGAGGGTTACCCCTTACCTTTTTACCTTGTTATGAAGTATACTGTTTCATTAGTGTACTTAAACTCATCTTTAAACCCTTTGTTATACTGCTGGAAGATCAAAGCAGTCAGACAAGCGGTAAAAGAAACACTCAGACACATTTGCTGTATTAAGAGTTAGACATTTGGGGAGCAAGGGATGGCGCAGTGGTGAGAGCGCTCGCCTCCCACCAAAGCGGCCCGGGTTCATATCCCGGCGTCGACACCATATGTGGGTTGAGTTTGTTGTTGGTTCTCTCCTTTGCTCCGAGAGGTTTTTCTCCGGATACTCCGGTTTTCCCCTCTCCTCAAAAACCAGCATTTCCAAATTCCAATTCGACCAGGAATCAGGTAGACGAAGAACCACTTTGTGGATGTGCTACCTCCAAATCATTATTTATTTATTTATTTATTTATTTATTCATCGGGCAGTAATGTTCAGTTTCGATTTAGAATCAAAGCTTCCAGATTCGGAATTCCGGTTTAAAATTTTAAACTGCAAAAACTCCGTTTCGTCCAAACTGTGGCTGATTCCATCGAACATTTACAAGTGTGATGTTACTTAACCCGTGAAATAGATAGTAGACAACTACGCACTATTATACACTAATAGACCTTTTTACCGATACGGCAGCCATATTAAATTTATTAGATTTAAGGAGAATTATGGAATGCCCAGGGGGGCACTCGCTCAGTATTTACGCGCGCGCTTCGAACAAAAGAGAACTTCACTGTTTATTTCACAGGAAAAGGGCGATTATTGTTACATCCGAACACAGCACAACGATCTTTTTTTCCCATTACAATCTTTTTCTAGGAAAACTTAAAGAAAAATTGGCCCGAAAAGCGCGCGTAAATGCTGAGCGAGTATATCGGATCGTGCTCATGCCCCCTAGGCATCCCATAATACCCCTATCTAATTAATTCATTATGGCCACCGTATCGTTAAAAAGGTGTATTGCATTGTATTCTTTTGTGTACATGTAGCTGTTTGGAAAATTGTTGGTCTCAGTTTCATAGGTTAAGTTAAATCACTCTAATTTCCCAGTCAATTATCTTTTGAGCTTCGCTCCTTCAAGTTTTATTCATCGCAAATTTGTCCGAATTGGTGCCGCGCGTGGATTGCTTTATTTCAGTTACTTTTTGTTTTTCCTTCCTTTTTTAGGTTTTTTAGGTACGGTAATGTATCCTACTAAATTTAAAACAAAAGAAAAACAAAAATTCACTGAATACAAAATTACCTACAACATACATTGTATACATATGAATACATCGGGTTGGTCTCCGCTATCGCTTCGCAACAAAGCCGCTACAAAGCGAACTACGACAAACTTAATCGGTTGTTATTTGCCATCTTTTCAGGGGTTCTTTACCAGGCCAACTAAGGCGTATTTACATCATTGAACTTCGTATGACAAGGAAAAGGGACAAAGTAAACAGCCATCTTAATTAGTTAGAAACGTTAATCAGTGGACTTTCCAATAGGTGATATTGTAAGCTTTAATAAAGCCGCCCGGGATATTCTTTGCCATGTAGATATTGTACTGATGTATGACATAGATTTTTAGTATGTATAGTTATAGGTTTAGGGGTGTGTATGTGTGACTTGGTTTGCTCTACTTGATCTCAGTTATTTTGTTCTTTAGAATTTACACAGTTCAGCCATAGGATTAAACGTAAGCAGCATGAATTACAACGCCTTCAAAGATATCCGACAAATAGGCAAATCTACACAGTCCGGCTGGATGAACTGTTTTGAATATTATTTATTTGATTTGCAAGCAAATGAATAGCTCAGCGTCCTGGGAGATTTTATCTTAGAATTTCGAGGTCATTATAGTAATAACTGAACACATTGTAATACGGAAAAATGACAAATAACAGCACAAAACGCAGCTAAACGCGGGCAAGAAAGACTTCCAACCATAAGCCACGTTCACGTGATACGTAGAATTACACTGCTTTAACTAGGAAAGGATTTTTAAATCCTTTTTCTTAAATCCTTTTCGTTTGAAAACTTTTTAGAAGAACAGAGGAATTAAGTATTGTATCGTTTTACGAACCTAAAAAAGAAGGCCCACTGTTTCGTTTTACAAACCCTTTTAAAATGCCAAGTACACTACTTTAAAAACACGGAACGATGTAGCCTAGAGGCTTGCAAACCGTTTTAGTAATGACGTGTCACGATACTTGAAGTGACAAAAGACCACCCATCTTCAGTAATCTGTAGTGCAGATAAGAGTACAATGTATATTTTTTGCCGTCAGATTAATTACCTGGACTTTTAAACCGAGCTTTGAAAATATATAAAATAAAACATGAAGCAAATCCTCCTCAGTCTTCTGACAAAGGACTGTTTTTTTGATTTAATCGTGAAAAAACCGCTGGGTATTAGAAAAGACAGAGAAAGAATAAATTTGCAACCTGTCAATTAACAATATTGTAATCATAACCGACCTTTTTAAAATCCTCATTTGTCCTAACATTCGTTAAATTATTGCAATGCACAATCACACGTAAGTGCATGGGGAAGAAGACACATGGCGGCTGAGAATTTGACTGAAGAGGAGGAAAAGACGTCACTTGAAAAATACTTTTGCTCTACAGAATTAGTTGAACAAGTAAACGGTCATTTAATAAGTCTTTCAGTTTTTCACATCTTACTGTCCATTACCGCAGTTCTGGGAAACGCCCTAATTCTAACTGCTCTCTACAGAGAATCTTCACTTCATCCGCCGTCCAAACTGCTATATTGTAACTTGGCGATAACTGATCTCTGTGTTGGTTTCAGTGCGGATCCTCTAGCCGTTATACGCTGCACGGCTCAGATGAACAAGCAATGGAATATTTGTCGCAAAGTATTTAACTACAATATCATAATTAGCTATACTTTGTGTTCCGTATCTTTGCTGACAGTGACCGCAGTAAGCATGGACAGACTTCTCGCTCTGTTGCTAGGGCTCAGATACAGACAACTTGTTACTTCGAAGAGAATGTATGCAGTAATTGCCATACTGTGGGCTATGTCCATTATCACCGCCACTATGTACTATTTAAATCCCCAAATCACTTTTTGGTATGGCAATATCGGTATATCACTGTGTTTAGTCACCTCAATCATCGCTTACACCAAAATTTTTCTCACTCTGCGACACAGCCGATTTAAAGTACAAGGTCACCTTTCTCAAGCACAACCAAGTCAAGCAATTCCGCTTAACATAGCACGATACAGAAAGGCAGTGTACAGTGCACTGTGGGTGCAAGTAACATTGGTTCTCTGTTATCTGCCGTATGGTATCGCGGTAGCTCTGACGCCAGAAAACGGTTTACCTTTATCCGTTTACCTTGCTAGAGAGTATACGCCTACTTTTGTTTACTTGAACTCGTCATTAAACCCGTTGTTGTACTGCTGGAAGATCAGAGAAGTCAGACAAGCGGTGAAAGAAACTCTCCGACAAAACTGCTGTTCAACAAGTTAATTTGAATGCAGAGAGGAGCGTAGCCTCCCACGAAGACGTTCTGAAGGCTTTATCACGTGTCATGACAGTATAGTTAAAGAACCTTTATCAATAGTATACAGTCACTAAAACTGATATTTACCACTTCAAATTCAACTGAACTAGTACTTGTACCTGTTCTAAATTTGTCGGTGGAAAGATTCTCAAAAATCGATCAATGTCGATGCAGATGTTTTAAAACTAGTTGATGCTAGTTTATTTCGCAATTCCACTGAACATAGCTCGATACAAAAACTAAAGGCAATGTACAATGGACAGTGACAGAAGGCCACATTGGTTGTATGTTATTTGCCGCTTAGTATAGCGGTAGCTTTGAATCCTCAAGAATATGTACCTTATCTGTTCACCTTGCTAAGAAGTATACCACTAAACTTGACATAAACCCATTTGCTACTGACCAGTTTTGGTATATCACTGACTTCCTACACCGTTTTCTTCTAGCTGTTCAGGCACCTGTTTTTTTTTCTCGGAAAATTGATCTAAATTTATCGCTTCAACTGAAAACTTTGCCAACGGCTCCGTTGGTCTTTTTTTTTTTGGCTTTGCGCATCTGATAGCGAATGTGAATTCATCTGATAGTGAATGAGTTGCAAAAAAACCCAGCTTACTAAAGTTAAATGAATGTTGTATGATGCTCAAGCTTAGGACGCTACTTCAGTAATGCAGGAAGATACAAGGAAGTATGTATATTTTATTGAGGAACACGTCGCCATATGTCATAAGAGAGTTGTCATAAGAGAGCAACACCCGGCAAGGGGCGGGGGGGGGGGGCCTTGGGCCGGGGGTAGCTCATATACAAAATTGACGGGATGCTTGTTGTCTCACTTAGGGGTGTAAATTGCAGATTTTAATCACACTTAAGCTGTTTGGGTTGGTGGGTCTCTATCCAAAGCATTGTTGGAATTACTATAGGAGGAAACTGTTCCCTCAGCGGTCCTTTGTGGTAACAAACGGCTGCTATGCTGTCTGATCGTAGGCATCACACTTCAGGAATCTCAATTCCACTGTCCCTATTGATGTTGCTAGGGTGAAATCTTACGTGAATAGCCTCTTTGGCTTTTCGGGAGTACCAGTGAGGGTCTCGTTCAATAAATTTAACATCGTCCCAGAGCGGATAATGCCTGGTTTTATTGACACATTCAGAAACGGCGGGAGTTTGAGTTTGTGAAAGCCGTATATCCCTATCGTGCTCTTTAATCCGCTTATGCATGCACCTTCCCGCTTCGCCAATGTATACTTTTCCGCATTCACAAAAATTTTTCTTGCTTTGCGTCACAACGAAATTTAAGTACAAGGTACATTTCACTGCAAGGACAACCGAGTCAAGCATTTCCTCTGAACAAAGAACGAACGAACGTTTGAGCGCATTAGATCATATTTAAATGCTATTTGGCGCCTCGTTATTATTATTATTATTATCATTATTATTATTATTACTGAAACAAAAAGAAGTGTCTAGTGCACTGTGTGTGCAGGTAACATTGGTCGTTTAGTCTGCCGTATGGTATAGCGGTAGCCTTGACGCCTGAAGATTCATTGTCTGCTTACTTTGCTAAAGAGTACACCATTACTTTCGTATACTTAAACTCGTCAATAAACCCGTTGTTGTACCGCTGGAAGATCAGAGATGTTAGACAAGCAGTGAAAGAAACAATCAAACAAATCTGCTCTTTAAGGAGTTAAATATCTCGTATAGCAAGTTAATTTGGGTAGTTTGTGGTATTTTTTTAACGGTTTATCAGTTTGGACTTCTCAATAAATCATGCTTATTATGAATGTAAAATTCAAAGTTTTGCTTAACTCCCACTATCAGTTATCAAATTAAAGAGAATGGAAAAAGCAGCCCTGCTAAGCCTTATGCTAATACTGTGACTTGATAGTGTTGACTGAATAGTCAAAAACCTATTTTCTATGTATGCAGTGGCCAAGAAAAAAACTTCCAGGCAACATAGAAGCTTAAAAGACTCCAAATTAAATTGAATTTTTCTAATAAGTGAAGATATGTTTGGAAAATATAATAACATGCACAATAATATTAGATTTAAAAAAAATTGGATATTGACATTTTACCTTTAAGCATGGAAACACAGAATGTGTACTTTACAACATTTCAATGAAGAAACACATTAACAGCAAAGCGAACTAAATTCTTCACTGTAAAACACAAGACACCTGATTTTGGGTCCGCCGACGAATCAAAGTAACCTCTCCTTCCCAGAGAGTTAAGTGTCTGCAGAATACTGCAAAAAATATGGCCATTAATTTTAGCACTTACAGAGTGGATAAGAGATCATGTGTACTTAAAAAAGTCGAGACATAAGCCATATTCAGGTAATTCTGAACAAAATAATAATAATAATAATAATAAATTAAAAATGGATTAATAATAATAAATTTTAAAAAGACGTTTGCCAAAAAGAGTAATGAAAAGAGCGTTTCGTTTTAAGAAGTATTACGAAAATTGGGGCTTAATGCCCAGTAGGCTACCTGTAGAGCGTTTTCACTCACGTGACCGGAGTCTATGCAAATTTATTGGAACAAAAGAAAGTGTTTATATAACAAAAGAGTTCAACTCCCACAGGATTGGTTTGGAACACCAACATGGCCGCCGTGACGTCATGTGACAACGGTCTATGCACGGAACTAAATGGAACGGAACTAAAGTCCTTAAAAGTGACACAATAATACAAATTATACGCCAAAATGACGAAAGACCACCTGCCTTCAAGCGTGAATGGAAATAAGAGTAGCATGAATGTTTTTGCCAGCTCAATTATCTAAGGTTATTTAATAAAGTTTTAACATCGATAGTACAATTTGAAGAGACAAATAAACTAAAACATGAAGCATTTCTTCTCTCACTGACAAAAGAATGAAGACTTTTCATTTTAATCATGAAAACTGCAGGGTATAATCAAAGTGGCTGTGAGTCACAAAACTCCGAAAAATTATGTTGTTAGTAAAATCTATATCAGATTTTTAATACAGTTTTTGTTATTTTTTTCTAAATTATCCTAATATAAATTTTATTGCTTACGTCTATGTTACCCCTTTGACGAATTAATATATTTTTGAAACATCTGTGTGTATATTTTCCTATAACTCCTGAAAATTCACACGATCTTTTGAGATCATGACACTAGTCGCTCTGTTGTTTTCTACGAAATAATTTTTTGACGTCATAGATCACGTTTCACCTTTTACATGTTACAGATCATGCCTGTTGAATAAAAGGAGAAAACGCAAAAAGACAGAAAAAATTACTCAGAATACATTTATAGTTGTATTATCTGTCTTTAAATTTGTGCTTGCTAACCTACAAAAGGAATGTTTAATTACGCACTATTAGAATCACTGAGAATTTAGTATTGCTTTTGAACTATATTGTAGTGAAATTGATCTTTAGCATGAAAACTTTAAACAAGTACGTTTGTGCATAATTTGAAATTGGCCATGACGTCTTTACGATATGTCCTCATTAACAAATACATTGTTTCTTCGCCTCCATACATGGAAAATGGTTCCCTTGGGAGTTAACAGATGGCAGATAGACAAAAGAGCTCAAGCGGAGGGGATGAGGGGGAACTTTCATGTTTGGCTCGCTCCGATAAGTGCCGCACTGCATGGTATAGGTTTATGGGATCTTCAATCTTAAAAAAAATTATTCAACTTCACTTAAACAGGGTTGCAGTTTTAATACGTTTTACCTTAAACAGGGTCAGAATCGAAGGATTTCAGCAGCACAACCCCAACCAAACTTCCTTTAAATCCCCCCCACCCCACCCAGAGAAGTTTCCTCCCTTATACATAACGATAACTTGGCAAAATCGGTTAAAGACACACAAGAAAATTAAATATTTGCTCCCACCTGTCACTAAAAAATATCGGAATCATGACATCCATCAAATTATTGAAATTCACACTTGCACGTAATGTAGTTCAATTATATTCTAGCATTTAAACATCATTTTCCCTTGAAATCATAAAATTTAAACTGAGGACACATTTGAACCACAAGACACGTAATTGCACGACGCAAACAAAGCGGTTGAGAGTTTAGCTGAAGAGGAGGAAATGAAATTACTGGAAAAATATTTTTGCTCGACAGAATTAATTGGACAAGTACACGACCATTTAATAATTCTTTTGGTTTCTCACATTTTTCTGTCGATTACAGCAGTTCTGGGAAACGCTCTAATTCTACTCGCTCTCTATAGAGAATCTTCACTTCATCCAGCATCCAAACTGCTCTATCGTAACCTAGCGATAACTGATATATGTGTTGGTTTCACGGTGGATCCTCTTGGCATTATACGCTTCACGCCTATGGCGAACAAGCAAGGGCATATTTGCTACCAAGTATATAAGTGCAGTGTCATCATTAGCTATGCTTTGTGTTCCGTGTCTTTGCTGACAATGACTGTATTAAGCTTGGACAGGCTTCTCGCCTTGTTGCTAGGACTCAGATACAGACAAGTTGTAACTTTGAAGAGAACGTACGCAACAATAACCCTGCTTTGGTTGGTATCCACAATCAACGCAACTATGTACCTTTTGAATCCCCAAATCACTTATTTGTCTGCCAATGTAGGTATAGCACTGTGTTTAGTCACCTCAATCCTCGTTTACTCAAGAATTTTTCTCACTCTGCGTCACAACCAAATCCAAGTACAGGGTCACGTTTCTCAGGCACAACAAAGACAAAGCCCAGCAATTCCACTGAACATAGCTCGGTATAGAAAAGCAGTTTCCAGTGTACTGTGGGTGCAAGTAACAGTGGTTGTTTGTTATCTGCCGTATGGAATAATGGAAGCCGTGACATTTCAAGAAGATGTATCTTTACCTGTTTACATTGCGAGCGAGTATGCCTCTGCTCTAGTTTACTTAAACTCGTCGTTAAACCCGTTGCTGTACTGCTGGAAGATCAGAGAAGTTAGGCAAGCGGTGAAGAACACACTCAGGTTAAACTGCTGTTCATCAAGTTAACTTGACTGCGTATTTTAAATTGAAAGGCTTTGACATAAGGTTCAAACACGATAGAATGGGGCAAGAGAAATGCCTTTCTGAGATCGTCATTAGATAGATTAAAATCCAACTTCAGCTTTTGTACATAATTTGGGAGACAAGCCTTCTTTTTGATCAAAAAAGGATAATGATCTTTTGATTTCTTTTTTGCTATATCGAAAACGCCGCCATTGATTTTAAAGGAAGGTACTGCATTAAAGGTATACTCGAATCCGAGCGATTAAGAACTTTTAAGTTGGTTGGTATTGAATGTCTCATACTAGTCCATTCAAGGAAGTTTGTATTTTTAACATTTTTTGCGATCTGTTCGCAGGATTCCGTACTGCTGAGATCAAAATGTAAGTCTCCTATTTCCCAGATACCAATGTCGTAATATTTCTTGTAGAAAAAGGGCTTGTCGTCTATTCTAAAGTCTCGATTGTTCCAAATTTAGCCTCTGAAGCAGACTTTCTTAGGCTTCAACCCACGTCGTGGCAGTATAGTTAAAGAACCTCTATAAAAAGTATACAGTCACTTCTACCTGTTTCAAACTTGTTGGTGGAAAGATTCTCAAAAATCGATCAACGTAGATCAAGATGTTTTAAGACTAGTTGATGCTAGTTTATTTCGAATTTCCACTGAACATAGCTCGATACAAACACTGAAGGCAGTGTACGGTGCACTGTGGAAGCGGGCCACATTGGTTTGTTATTTGCCGTTTAGTATAGTGGCAGCTTTGACTCCTCAAGAATATGTACCTTTATCTGTTCTTAGAAATATACCACTAAATTCGTTATAAACCCGTTGCTTTACTACTGACGAGTTTTGGTATATCACTGCTTTCATAACATAAATTGACTTTCTAAACCATTTTCTTCTAGTTGTTCAGTTTTTTCACTCGGAAAATTGGTCTAAATTTGCCGCTTGAACGGGAAACTTTGCCAACGCTCCGTTGGCTTTTTTTTTTTTTTTTGGACTTTGCGCATGCGCATCTGATGGCGACTCAAACTTTGACGCAAAAAAAAAACAGCCTTACCAAAGATAAATGAACGTTGTATAATGCTCAAGCTTAGGACACTACCTCAGCAATGGGAGATACAAGGAAGTATGTATATTTTACTGATAAACACGTCGCAATACGTCAAAGTGACAAAAGACCACCCGCCTTCAATAACATGATAACATGATATGTTTTTCTCTTCAAATAGATGAATGACGTTTCATTTTAATTTTTATAAAGCCATGTGGTTGGGTAACCAAATACTTGAGAACTTCTACATTATAAATCCAGTAAATTATTAAAATACACAGTTGCGGGTATTTTCACGGCGATAATATGGCGGCAGAGAATTTCACTGGAGAGGAAGAAACAACAACCATTGCGGAATTTCTTTGCTCTGCCGAATTAAGACGACAAGTGTACAATCATCTAATAATTCTTCCAGTGCTGCACATTTTTGTTTTCATTACTGCGGTTTTGGGGAACACTCTGATCTTAATTGCTCTCTACAAAGAAAATTCACTCCATCGGCCGTCCAAAGTGCTGTATTGTAACCTAGCAATAGCCGATCTCTGTGTTGGTATCACCGCAGTTCCTCTCGCTGTTCTACGATTCATGGTTATGATGAAGAGGAAATGGAATATTTGTCGCATTGTCTTTGACTCAAATTTTATTATTAGCTATAGTTTGGGTGGAGTGTCATTACTGACGACAACTACAATAAGCCTGGACCGGCTTCTCGCCCTTGTGCTAGGGCTCAGATACAGACAAGTTGTGACTTTGAAGAAAACCTATGCAACTATAACCACACTTTGGTTTGTAGCCATTGTCAGCGCAGCGACTCACCTCTTTAATACCCTCATAACTTCATGGTGTGGGAACATAGCTATATTGCTCTGTGTGGTCATCTCAATCGTTTCTCACACAAAAATTTTTCTTACTTTGCGTCACAACAAGATTCGAGTACAGAGTCACATTTCACTGGGGCAACCGAGTCAAGCATTTTCTCTGAACAAAGCTCGATACAGAAAGGCAGTGTCTAGTGCACTGTGGGTGCAAATAACACAGGTTGTTTGTTATTTGCCTTATTTTATAGCGGTGGCTTTGATGACACGAGAAGGTTTCGCTTTACCTCCTTACCTTGCTAGGGAGTATACCACTACTCTCGTTTTCGTAAATTCGTCATTGAACCCAATGTTGTATTGCTGGAAGATCAGGGAAGTCAGAGAAGCAATGAAAGAGATAATCAGACCAATTTGCTGCCTATGGAGTAAAGAACTTGATACACTCTCGTTCTCGCGGAGCGAGCGGCCAGAGGCCGCGAGCGAAGCAAGTTCATAATCTCGTCGCGCGCGAAGCGCGTGGTCTTAGCCAATGAATCTATATATCGCAAGGTCTTCGCCCTGACGTCATCTAGTGTGTGACACCACCGAGCAGTTTGTGTTTCCAGGCAATATGGCGTAACTCAATTACGAGCCACGGAGTGAAAGACGACAACAAGAAACCCGCGGAGCAGAGAGAAAATCGCTTAGCACAGCAAAGGCAACGCCGTCAACAAGAGACAGAGAAGAGGCTACCGCGACCACAAATATGTACAGAGGCATCGACAAAATACCACAATTATCCTGCCAACGAAACCGATGAAGAGAGGAAAAACCGACTGCCGACGCTTCAAGAAAATGCCGCCAATAGAATCCGCAACGAAAGCCAAACTCCATTTTTCTTTCGCCTTACCATCCCTGATATTTTATGGGCCTCCCCCGAGCTTCGCGAGATTCTGCGATCCAAGTATTTCTAGTTAAAGAACTTCACACACTCTTGAAACTGGGCAGCAAGGCTGACGCAGTGATGAGAGCACTCACCTCCCACCAATATGGCCCGAGTTCAAATCCCAGCATCGACGCTATATTTGGGTTGAGTTCGTTGTTGGTTCTCTCCTTTGCTCCGAGCGGTTTGTCTCCTGGTAATCCGGTTTTTCCCTCTCCCCAAAAATAAACAATTCCCGCAAATTTCAATTCGACAAAGAATCAGGTACACGAAGAGCCACTATGTGAACATTATAAACTGTAAATACCCTTAACTTTACAATCTCATTGGAAGATTTTGACCTTTTGTGTGTGTTTTTTTTTAAAGTAGGATAAGCGATTATGCTTAAATGAAACAATAGTGAGGCCGTGAATAAAAATATGAGTTATGACGAACCAAGAGCGGTCTACTTTTTTCTCCCTTTCTCTCTTTTCTTTTTTTTTTTTCAGTTTTGCAAGTTTTAGCACCTGTTATTATACTTCATGCTCTTAGGTCCCTACGCAAAGAAGACTCTAATAAAAATCGGGGAATTACTTCACACGAGAGTTTCAACCAGTAATAGCTTTAGTAAATGATGGAGGGGTATTTAAGGATATACTCGAAATCTTTCGTCCCGTCTCCAAAACCATATTGGATTGGCCTTCTGTTCCGTCATAAAATCCGTTTTCGGCACATTGGAAGCGCTCCTATAATGCATCGCTCGTAGAAGTGATATACTTAGTGCTGTATCGGTTTTTGGCCAGCGTTGTACGTCGTGGCTCTTCACATTTACCCGGTATACTAGATCGCATTTGTGCAAAGAATGATTCACGCTCACTCCGCGGCTCTTAGTATAAACAGGGGACACGGAAGCTGGAGGCATCGAGGTATCCTTTTGACATTAAATTTTAGCAAAGCTTGGAAATTCTATCATTATTATTATTATTATTGTTATTATTATTAGCTTTTTAGGAATTTTTTTAATTGTAACTTAATGTAAAGCGGTTTTGAATATCTTATAGTTCTAGAGCTACACAAATTCATTATCATTATCATTATCATTAAATTGGAAGACAAATGTTTCACAAAGTTGAAGTGGGTGGAAACGCGAAAACAAGAAGGAATCTCCTCTCGTTTTACTGCTGTTTTGTGTTTACTAGAGGTGATATGCATAATTAAAAGCAAAAAAATCGTTAACTTTGAAAGTATATGAACATGCTAGCCCACTTCGATTCACCGTTAGTTTTAGCTCGTCACCTTACTTCAGTCACGTCGCTTGTTACAAAAACTCATAAGATCTGTACACAAATAGGTTTTTTTTTCTCATCTGACAGAGTTAATAATGACGAACAGAGCACTATTAGGGTAAATTAGGCAAGCTTATTAAAGGTTCGAAAACAGACAAGAGAGAATTTCCTCTCTTTGCTATCGTTTTACCTCTACTTCGTATTTATTAGAGATTTTATACAAATATAAGACAAAAAAAATATAAACTTAAAAAGCCTTTCATGCAAGTTCAAAATCACCTGTCTTCACCATTATTTTATGGCGCCTCCTTCTACTTCAGTCATGCCGCTTGTTAAAAATTTATAATATCGGGACGCAATTGGCCCATTATTTTAACTGGCAGTCAACACTAGATGACAAACCGAAAGCTTGATGAGCGTCGCTAAGGCTAGGTCTTGACAATTCGACTGTGGTCTTATTCCGTGGCTGAATTATTTATTTCGTAAGCTAAAGACACCGCGTGAATTAGATTTATCAGTGAACTCTTGTTGACGAGGAATACCGCGCATTAAGTCAGTGAGAAATCCATTCAAAAGGGGAAATTATACAAGTGAAATTTTTTTTATGGACCAGCCCCAGAGAGGGTTTGTCCTCTCTTACTACACTTCAGCTGTCTTTGCGAAGGATCTTGATTGCGCTTTTGACGACATTGGTGAGGTTAGGGTTTAATTATTGGTATTCAAACAATCAAGGTTCGAGAATCGTTAAATACGTCTTATGGTTTCAATTTTTTGTTTTTGGTTTAAACAGATTAATGGTTGTTTTCTTTATACTTCTATTTCCTTTTATCTTGCATATGGCTCTGACACAAAAGACTACTAAAAAAAGAAGAAGAACCACGATAATTATAATAAGGTGCTAAAAAGCTTGATGCGAGTCAACGAGGATTTGTTTTGACGATCGATATTATGTTACTCATTATTCATTTTAGAAAAAAGGCCAATTTGAAAACCCAAGCTTATGGAAATCTCGAGGGATATATCAGCTGATATATCCCTTCATTGTGTAGTGGAGATTATCAAGGATGAGCCAGGGATGGGTATTTAGTTGAAAATAGAGAAAAATATGAGGAATTACACTCAACAAGAACGCCGTATAGATTAACATTAGAGTATTTTTCACCTCATCATGAAAGCAATAAAACACTGCAGCTGTCAACATTTGAAATTAGATCATTTAACGTTTAATCATTTTTGCTCACATTTGCTGTTACCTTCAGGAAAAAATTACTTCCAGACCAATCGATTTATACGTGCAACTGACTATTAATCGATTCTTGGACAGACCAACATCCTGTGCTAATAGTGATAATTAATGTTTGTAAACATATGTTTTGTTATTCAAAAATATCAACCACCGTAACAAAGTAACCTCAATAGTTTCTGGTTGGCATATTTATATCAACAGCAGACATAAACTTAAGAAGTGCATTCAGTTCACATGTCAAAGACTTCATTGATCAAGGTTGTAATGAACATCTCAACAGTTAACCGTGTGTTTGAAAATGATACTTGGGCGTCGACAGCTGCGTCGATGGGCAGCGCTGTTTCCAAAGCAGAAGGAATCGTGTTCTGTGTTTGCTTTGCCCTAATACTCATCTCCATCGTCCTGGGAAATCTCCTTACAATTATCCTTTTTGTAGCCAAGAAAAGACTTAGGAAGAAAAGTCTCTTTCTGGTCGTCAATATGGCGTTTGCTGACTTGATGTTAGGAGCGGTGTCCTTACCAATTTACATCTACTTACTAGGAAAAGAGCATCATTTATGGAAAGCGCAGTGGAGTACTTCTTCGGAGAGGTTTTACCGATTTTTTGACGACCTCTTCATGCAGTTATCTCTAATTTCGGCGGCCATGATATCGGGTGAGAGATTTTACGCCACATATCACCCATTCAAGCATCGAACACTATCACAGCTAGCATATCGTGCGTTAATTTGTCTAACGTGGATTCTTGCCTCGATAATTTCTGCGATACTCTTTGCACTGTTCGAGACTACTTCGTACAGAGGATTCTTGTATTTTTGGTTGCCCTACACTGTAATTATGACCTGCTCAATATGTGGATGGAACATCGCTATTTGGAGAAAGGTTCAAAGAGGATATACCGCTTTAAAACAGCCAAACAGAGTCAATCAAAGCAAACGCCTAACTAAAACTTTGCTTCTTGTGTCTTTTATTGCTCTGTTATCTTGGCTCCCGCTAATTGCTATGAACGCGTTCATCTTCGTCCGTCCCTCGCTAGTAAGTGGACGGTTTTACTACTTAGCGAATATGTTAAATTTTTCCAACTCTTTTGTGAATCCACTTTTATACGCTTTACGAATTCCTGACTTTAAAGACGCTCTATTCTTGTACTGTTACAGAAAAAACCAAACACTTAACTCGTCTGCAAGTGAGCTAGAAAAATATAAAAGACCCAACATTGTGGGTGCAACGGAGAGTAGAGCAAGACCTGCGATCCTGGCGTTGGACAATGATACAATGGAAACCAGATTGTAATTAATCAATTGTGCGAGAACGATACCGATTCTCGAGATGTCCTCCCAGCGGTAGCAGTACTGGGCCAGAAGTGAACAATTTAACTTTTTTGCCACCATCACAGCTACGAGTAGTCTGCGAGCCCCCGCAAAGTTATCCGGCGAAAGAGAGCGCGCGTAAGGCGGACTCACTTTCATCCTTGGCACAATTCTCCCACGTGGAAGAGTGAATACAGATTTTAGCGTAACTTAACGCTTCACGTTTCCCTTGAACTGTTTGCGCGCGTGCACACCCACTCTTTCGTGTGGGCATTCTTAAGAGAGGCCTTCAGTGATGAAGAGGAAAAAGCCTAAAACCTAAATCGCGCAAGAAAATTTTCCTGGACATTCACAGTTGCAGGTTAAACTATGACGTTTATGTAATTCACTTATCAATTTATCACAATTAGCCAGTTAAAAATAGAGCTTGTTGCTGTTTGACAAAATAATTCAAGAGTCACGATCGCATTGTCTGAGGAGTCAAATGACTATGTTGACAGTTAACAACACTTAATTAAGCCGAGGCTACCGAGATAAATTCTTCGCATCGGATGACTCTTGCTGATATGAAAGCTTGTGTTGATAAATCGCGTGCCCAGGGCCAGCTGTTCGAGGGCTGATTAGCGCTTAACCTGGGGTTAAATCTAACCCGGGTTTCTCTTTCTTGTGTTCAAAAGCATTTTCTCGGATAATTTTCTCTGTTATATTTAGAGCTCTCAATCATCAACTTGTAGACAAAAAGAATTAAAACTGAAATGCTTTTTAAGCTTTCAAATCTGAATTCAAATCTCGCACTAGCCCTAGGTTATCTTAACCCGGCTTTAAACAACTCGGCCCAGATCTCTTGTCCACGAAGGCGACGGCTTCGTCGACGAGGACCCCTTACTTGTTAGACTTTGCGCGCGCGAGGCCAAGTGATCGACGTAAGTGTTGACGCAGATTGTCAAAATGGACCAACCATAGTGTATATACACCAGGAGCTGGTTTAGCGGAATGAGGTATTGAAAACAATGCCTACAGGCTCCACTTCACCGTCTCTCCCCAGCGCCCACGCGTTTTTCATTTACCTTTCTCTATCCGCTTTCCCTCCCGTCTGGAACAGGCTACAAAAAGCCATAACGTATAAAGGGTTACTGAGCAAGAGGGTACTCACTGTTTCACTGTGGTTTCCAGAGAGAGCCAGTGGATTGTTAATCGTGGTTTTTCCGAGGATTTTACCAGCCAGGAAATGCGATACAACAGCCATTGAGTTACCAAGGCCTTCGGCTATAGAGTCAAGCGTCCCCCAAAGATCAGTGGAGTCCACCAAAGAAGTCTGCTCCATAACCAATGCCACCATATTGTAAAGAGTCTCATTCAGTCGCAACTGCGTAAAGTAAATAAACGCTACTTGCTATGTGACCCCAATTAGCGCTAAGAAGCGCAAGAACGCTTAGAGACCTAATAAAGTTGATGATAGTGATGATGATGATAATGATGATGATGATGATGATGATGATGATGATGATGATGATGATGTTTCGTTTTGTCCTTTACTCATTTTTTTCTATACTATTTGTAAAAACATAGAATTGTGATCGCAACTTAAACACCCCAGGGTAGGCAGTGTTCACTCGCTAATAAACCTACAGTAGAGTGATGTGGTCTGTATTTTAATCATAGTTCAATTTAGAATACCATGTTGTGACCATTTAGCACCAGGTGAAATAATATAAAGCAATTCTTGAAAATATAAAGACGCTTTTTGAAGTAACTTATTTTCTCAATTAAATAGCCTGGCGTTTATTTTAGATTTAACCTAGAAGGCGGTGTTTTTCTGAAACTACAGTTTATTCCTGCCCGGAGTTTAGTAAGCAACACATATTCTTATCAGCGGTGTATCTTCCCCTTTCCAAAAGTTTATTAAACCACAAAAGAAAGGTAAAGGGGCTTACTTACAATTCTTCTAGTTAGAACCCGCTTATATTTGTTAAAATATTGAACGGGTTAAATCAATAGGCACCTTGGTCTCAGTATCACATTCATCAGGAACAGCGGAGAGCATAGACAGAGCATGCGCAGTTTCTCTGAGAGAGTCCGCCTCATGCGGTTACGGATCTGAGGGGAAAGCACAGTGAAAATGGAAGGTTTAGTATCAAAAGGAACTGAAGAACTCTGTAAAAAAAAATATGAAAATTTGGTTTTACAGTAGAACCCGGTTAAAACGGACACCAAGAAGACATGGCGTCGTGACTGTAAGATCTGGGTGTCCGTATTAAAAGGGCCCGCTGAAGAAACGCCACGGACACATGTTTTATGGATGTAAAGACTAAAGCAGACACTTTTACGAGTAAACGTTGTTTAATTACCTAACGACAGTTTTATTGTAACTTGGTCTGGGCCCAATTCTCCGAAAGATGGTTAAGTTTAGCAAATTTCAAAGCAAGGTTTTCTTGTCTAAGAACATGTCACTCGAGCTTACAAAATACTGTTGTCTTTACTCCGAGATTCAGTCATGATAACATAGAATGTTACTCTAAGCAATGCATAGGAAGGTAAATACAAAAGGTGGAACAAAATTTTTAATCCTGGATTCGCGCTAATTGGCCTTTCATGAACCGAGGCCTGGGCCCAAACGGACTCAACGATTTACTGGAAGTGCCTTTCGAATTTTCCTTCAACCTGATTGGCAAATCGACAACAGCTTTTTTAACAGGCCAATTATGGCGCCTATTCAAATCCTGGTACATAGGTGGGGGCCCAGAGCAAGGATTTCGGCGCTGGCCCCCGGTGTCACAGTGATGTGGGCATCCCCGCGTTTTGGGCAACCCCATTCCCAAAACCCTAGTGATATGGGATCATTTTCCGTTTCTGGGAAACTGCCCACCTACCCTTCCCCTAGGCCAACATTGGTTTAGGGGAGGGGTAGGTCGGCAGTTTCCCAGACACGTAAAATGATCCGTGATATGGGCATCCCTAGTAACCCTAAGCCTAACCCTAACCCAAATCGCTAAGGTAATATGAGAAGGGGATGTCCATATCACTAGGGTTTTGGGAATAGGGATGCCAAAAACGCGGGGATGCCCATATCACTGTGACACCGGACGGACTTAACCAGAGGTTTAGTTTCACATGTGGCGCAGACTGCTGTTTCATAGCGTATGATATTTACCTTTATAGCCATATTTTTAAAGTCCGTTAGACTGGATCCGCGCTCGGATATGGCATTTAACTGTGACGAGACAGCTAAAACGTATTGATCGGTAAACTGCGAATGGGATTCCATCTCTAGAGTGCGAAGCGTCCCATTGATTTCCATTTCCTTAAGGAGATTTAACATGAGTTTCAAGTCATCCTCGTCAGTGGGTAAACTCTGTGGGAAAAAACAACAGCAGTTTCTTAGCAAAGGTTATAGGAAAAAGGGAAATCATCTCCGAATAAATATACTCTTATTCACGCTTAAAAACAGGACAAGAGACAAGGACTGGGTACTAGTGGTGACGTCACTAGTGTTTTCTTCACCGCGTTACGCATTTGAAGAGTTTGAAAGAAACTGCATTTGTTTCCAATAAACGATAGAGAGTGGTTTGAGAATTTTCTTTAAGTAGGTCCCAAGACGAGGAAAATATTGAGACACGAATGAAGTCATGATCACCTTGTGGCCCCGAGTAAAATGTGGGATATTTTTTTTCAAAAACAATACACCTTTTTACCTTGCATTTTTTGTTTTGAAGACGGAACGTCCACGGGGAATATTACGTTTACTTAGCTTGAAACAAGATTGAGACCCCAGAACTGGAGGTTTTCATTGTTCTCCTGGAAATTAAAATCCAGTGCGAAAGAGAAATTGCAATAACAAACGGAAATCTTAACAAAGACAGAAATAAGTGGACCACCCTGTGCATTTCTGATTAGTGTTGATTTATAGCAATTTAGCAAACGCGCACTCTATTATTTTTCTATTTGTTCTTCCAGTTGTTGTTGTTAAACTGTAGAACTTTCGTATTTAGCTTTTTTTTTTTCACTGTTTTGCATCCTTTAATCGCCCTGTTATTGTAAAGTTTAATATAATGTTATGTTGAATTATGTTAAAGACATAAATTTAAAAAAGTCAACTTTTGTACACTAAAAAATCAAAATTACGTCTGGACCAAAGGCTCTGCTTATCTTGCAGTCCTACTGCGATTAAGTGTACCCTGTGCACAGATTAATTGAGATGATTGCCAATAAATGAAACCAAAGAAATTAAATATTAATCGCTCACTTGGTTCCGAAAGGACTGAGATTGTAAGGGTTTCACCCCAAACGATTTTATTGTATTTTCCACTGCATAGTTAAAGTTTTTTTTCCATTTTCCTTGGAACACGTGGTAGCACATTATACCGTACAGTAATTCACGACCAAAATCCCACTTAGTAGCACTGGTCAGCGGTTACCCCTTTTGACAGCTGTCGATTGACCATAACATAGGTCTATAAGGATGTCCACCATCAAGTTAAACACAAATTGTAAATTCCTTGGACACCTAGCTAGTAATGCCCAGTCATGACAAGAAAAAAAATACCCGCTTAGCAGCCAATCAGAGCGCGTACTATTGTAGCCATAAAATAAAATACATTAATTAAGGGTTTGGTAATGCAAAGGTCTAAAAAATGACTCAACCAAGCAAGATATAGGTACTAAATCTTCTCAGTCGTTAACCTATTTTACTCAAAAGAAAAATTCCCAAAGAACAAAATCCTGAACTGGTAATTTCATATCTTTTCCGCCTTAGTCACTTAGGCTCCGTCTTGTCATGTAAGGTAAATAAATTCATTTGGAAAAACATACAGGTTCTAATCCATAACAGGGATTCAAGAGAGAATAAGCTAAGAGATCGAATCCCCCATACATGACTCTCTTCCCACGAAAATTATTTCCAATCTATTGCGTGGTTATTTTAAGGACGCCACCTTATTGGTTGGTTAGAGTGGCTCAAAATGAATAGAAAGGTGGAAACGTGTTCCTAGCATTAGTGGACCATTAGTGGCCAATTAGCAGACCTTAGGCAACTTTGGGATCCAAATGAACGAGATGTCCGTATCGCTGATAGAAGAAACATTAACTCACTGCCATACATGTTGCCGATGGAAATTTATACATACCTGAGCTATCGCAGCAAAATAAACGAAACAGACGTAAGTTATAGGTACAATTTGCAGAAAGTATGGGATAAACAGCTCTGACTCGCTGAATGGATGTGGCTGCTCACCATTAATCTTTATTTCAATGATCAGCGGAGATTTCTTAACACGATGGAATGCGATCACCGTGGGAAAGGGCAGGGAAAAAGGACAATTTTGAGGCATTTCATATTTTTGCATAGAAGTCTTTCTTAAAGAAGTTTTAGGCTAGCTAACAACTTACGAAGGAACCACCTTCATTCTCAACCTTTCAAGTTAAGGCGCGGACAGTATGTAAATTTTATTGCCTTACGTAAATATAATTTTCTCGATTTTTTTTTGTTTTGCGTACAAAATCTTTGCTGTAACGATTCTAAATATCATTCCTTTAACTGAAAGGACGTTTCAGTCACGAATGTTGACTTTTTTGAGAAAAAGCAGTTTAGTCTCAAAGTTTTCTGTAACCTGCTAGAGGTTTACATAGTGTACAGAGTTTCTTATTTTAGTGTCTGTTTGTACTAAATGGTTCGCTTATTTGTTTTGCTGACCGCGGGGAAGGGGAGTAGGACTGGCATGTACACGGAGATTTTCGTTTCATGAATTTTACAACTTTTTGCCTTTTGATTTTTTAATTTTAATTTTTTTTTGGAAAAGGTTTTTTTTACCCACGACATTTACCCACACCCACACCCACACCCACGACCCACGACCTCTACCCACTACCCACGACCCACGACATTTAGCTACACTCCATCGGTAGACCATTAGTGACCAATTAGCAGACATTTAGCCAACTAACGCGATCCAAATTGCTGCAGAAAAAAAGCCACCCTCCACCTTGTCACCTTCTATGCAATTATATTCAATATTTTCTGACAGAGATTGTTTGCATATTATATATTATTGCCGTTGTTATTCTTATTATTAGTAGTAGTATTAATATTAAAGTGTTGTTACATGTGATAACAGAACAGTGAGGTTGCTATTTCATCAAATTTATTTTTTCACAAAGAGCAAACCCTATGCCCTCCTTTGGACAAATGTACATTTAACAAAAAAATGAAACGTGTCCCGGTTTACAGAATTTACTTGATATATGGAAGTTCTTTTTCTGCTTCATGTCTCTTCCTCGTTTATGCACATTACTTTCTTCAAGGTGCTTTTCACAATTTTGCGTAATTCTCGATATCGCCAACAGTAAATGAGCGGATTTAATGAAGAATTTAGAAGAACAAGGAAAATTGAAGCCGCTTTAGCTTTTAAACTTGGCAAACTTTTGTTAGTTATAAGCACAATTTCAGACGAACAATACGGAAGGTAACAGGCTAGGAAAACAACGAAGAGAAATATGACATTATAAGCGATCTTCTTTTGTCGTAGTACCTCCACTGCTTGGCTATTTTGTATCTGATGTTGGCCTACTATTTGATTTTGGTGATGTCGAACAACTTTGCAAATATAAACGTAGGTTGCAGTCGTCAACACAAGGCCTACAAATGAGAGTCCAGTTACCATGTCATTGCCTTCGGGGAGTGAAATATATACTAAGGCAGAGACGGCACTTGTTAACCATAGAGATACCAGGGCTATAATGACACGTTTTGAAGTGACAAGTTCTTGGTATCGAAGATGGAGCGAAATAGCGAGAAGTGTATCGGCAGCAATTGCGATCATATTCAGAAAGGATGCACATCCAAGTAGAACGACGGGGAAATAGAACGCAGGCAAAATCGCTGGACAGAGTAAGTCGGTGCGGTCCTGGTCGTCCGTCGATGCCATTTGCAACGCCACGGCTATAATGACCCCCATCAACGGTTGCGACAACATTCCCACAGCAATGTCCGAACAAGCAAGGCTTGAAAACATTTTCTTGGCATTAGCGGGTATCGATGAGGATTTCGACAAGGCGTGAAGAACTAACACGTTTCCAAGAGCTGCCATCGGAGAAAACAACAAATGTAAAACACTAAAAGTCACCATAAAATTTCTCTCATTGCGAACGAGTGTTTCTAATTCCTCTAATAGTCTCGAACAGGACTGGGCAGACATAACAAAGTTTGCTGAACCCGGCTACATAAACACCGAATCTACATAACAGCAACTTCGAACCGCTTTCCTTCCGGTACTACATCCGTGCGCTGTTGTAGTTTCAATGTTAACTATTATAAAAAAAACTGAAATAAAAAAGAAATCGTTCTGTGATACTTTGTAATAATCGTCGCACTTTGTGATAAAATAGCTGTCGAACCTTGTAAGAAAATTTTTTCTTTCTGGAATACCTGTCGTTATATGTACCAACACTTATCGCACTAGATTTCAAAATGTTTAAGCTTAAGTAAACTTTAATTTGCTACATCTTCTAAATTTTCATTAAATCTACGTCTTTCTTGATGGCCTCATCCAAAAGCAACAATGAAGAGAGTACTTTCCATTAGCGAGGGACACAAATCAAGACATTTCTTACTAACTGGTGAAAACTTTTACAAATTGAATTGAGTGGAAGATGTAACGAAGGACTACATTCATACTTGTCATACGTTTATCCATGGGACGTTGGGTTATGCGGGGTGATGTTTATGCTGAAAAGCCAAACTTTGGCAGGTGTTTTCCGGACAAATAACTAATCGAAAAGAGGGACTAACCTCGTTGCACGTGGCAACGCAACCAGCAATCCATTAACTTCTCAAATCAAGTTCTTTCCGGCCATCAACATGCGTTGTAATATTATAACAGCTGCCGGCAATGGATTGCTGAACACGTGTACATAGAACTGAAACTGAAGGCGGACTCAACACGGCATTTAGTGAAACAGAAAGTGTGACAAGCCATTTCCGAGTTTAAAAAAGTATCCAAAACCTTTCTTCTCAAAATGAGTTTTATTTACATGAGAATAAAAATCATTTTTATATCATTAGTTCGCACTCAGCCTGCCTAGCTTTGAAACAAAGGCTAGAGGCAACTCGGAAATGGCCTACTAGAATCATAACAAGATCTGTCAAGCATTTTTCTTGAAACTTGTTTCTTAAAAGAGTTCCTTAAATTTAAAAATTTACAGTTGATGCTCTTGCAAACGTCAGTCAAGAATTTTGAATAATAAATATAAGTCCAGCTGGATTTTTGAAAACGAGAGCGCTGCATAGACCTCTTCCGCCTTTTTTCGAAAAAACTAAGAGTGCAATAATTACTGTTTTTCTCCTCTCCTCCTTTCTTTCTCCTTGATCTTTCTATTTTTCCTTTCCTTTACCTTTGCTTGTGTGATTTTTGGGCATATAGGACGCAAAAAAAATCCTGCCTTTTGGCCCTTTTCCAATCAAATGGCTGCAAATTTTGCTAGGTACGTTTTCAAAACTCTGGCTAGAAGTATATGCAATCGAGAACACAACTCACAAAATTTGAAGTTCTTCAATCAACACTAATTTCGACATGAACATTCGCTGCGCTGTACTAAATCCAGACAGTTGTATTCAAACAAATGAAGAGAATTTGTGTCATATTCAACATTTTTTGGTTTTGGTATTAGTGATATTTGCACTACAGCTTTAGAGATAAGCGATACACTGAGTACTTTGAAATTTCTCCGTGGAATATTAGGCTTTCGTCCAAGGTGATATCAACACACCGCACTCCTCGAAAGGATTCTATTCTTGATTTATTGCGATTCTAATAAGAGAGAAGTGGTGATCACTGTGTCAGGAGGATGACTGACAATGGATAACACTATAACAATGATGAAAGTTGTTCTCTTGGTGGCTCCAAGGCGGAAATAGATGCAAAGGATAAATATCCCATCAGACTAAGGAATAAAGAGAAACAACACTCAGTCTGATCATGGAGACGTCATCAGTTTCGAAGGTCAAGGACAACTTAGTCAGTTAAATTGTGCAGGGTGAAGAGATGTTTCAAACCACATTAGAACAAGACCTCCAAAAAGGGGGTTCATTTTAACCATCAAAATTGAAGTGATTTTTTTTGTATAATAACCTATTTTTCTTTTCCAAGCTGAACAGGTTATTTTTGGGTATTTAAATGACAAATTTCAGCCTGTAGGTTCTTAATTCACCAGGTTCTTACATGTAAGCTTTTACTGTATTTTGAGAATTATAGATTATAATCACACTTTTTCCAGCTTTAGTGCAGAGCTACTCCTATCCCGTCATGGGAAAGAGATAAATTATATCAGTATATTATCATTTGAAGTTGTATGATCGTATCAGTTAAATTAGTCCTGAATTGTCATGAGTCGTGACTAAAAATGTTAACTCCATGCAAGAATGGTGTTTTCGTTTCAATTCCGTTTGCAAGATAACAGTTTACGAGATACGGTTTGCGCATACCGGGACCATTTTTAAGTCGGGGATGTGGCGTAACTTCTACCATTATGGATAAAAATAGGCAAGTTAGCAAGAAGCCATTGGCACTCCTTTTAACTGGGACATTTCCGGTGCAGCGCATCCCCTTTCCCCAGGAATCCCTCTGTAGCTCTGCCCCTAAAAATATAGCCTCCCGCGTATAGACGTCCCGTCCTTTTGGCTCGTCACGCAGTAAGCCCTAAGATAGTATCACAGTACTACGTGACTAATTTGATCTAACCAAAAATTCCAAACATTATTGTCGTTCTACGCTTATAAAACGTGACAGGGTCAAATTTTGGTGAAAGACTGTTAGCAGTAAATTTGGTTTAAGTTTCGTTTCTGTCGGATGTTGCATTTTAAGCCCCTTTGACTATCCAAGTGAAAATGTTTCCATTTGATGGCGCGATTTTCAAATAGCATATTCCTTTCCTGTAAGAAATGACTTGCCACACGCAGGGAGAGAGAAGAGCAATATAGACATCAGAGAGAACTTTGCTGTCACATGTTAGAAGAGAAAGCACTTTTTAAAAGGTTTGAACTTTCTCGTAAAATGAAGTGAAACCTCGATAGCGGCTCATCCTACCATCTTTTTGAAGAAGACAATGAATAAGGCGCCACATGATAGCTTCAGTCAGAGACATTCTCATTCAAAGGATGCGCACGCAGACCGACTAAACCTTAAACCTTAAAACAAACTGATCGTAGCATCGGATTTTTCCCATTTTTTAGGGTTAAATATAGAACTAATACCCTCACACAAGAACGTTAGTTTTCCTTACAAGTCTGTTTACAAGATTTTGTTTTGAGTTAATGATCCACCCTCCCCACGCCCCGATAATAAAAAAGGTGCTGCCCCATCGTAGGGGAACAGGAAACCTTACCTGATCCGTTTTCTATTGTCTTCTTGCTGCACAAGAAAGCGCCCACATTTTTCTGTTGGGCTTTGCCCTCACGGGCAGCCCAATAATGAGCACGATTCGGTCAATGAGGCCGGAGAAAAACTAAGGCAAAAAACGGTGTAACCTTGACCCGAAAATTCTTATGAAAATCTTGTTCATCTATCCACCTACCTTTCCTTTCATTTAATCCTTAGATCTAGTTTCCCTAAAAACGTTTCCCACCGAAATGTAGCCTATTAAAAACCCACCAAAAAAAGTGAGGATAGAAAGCGAAAAGCGCTTGCCCGAACTTCGGAAGCTGTACTACCGGTAAACGGCTTTATGGCAAGTTTTAGTTCTTTGTAGCAAGACAAGCTCAGAGAGTTACCAGAAAACTGCTCGACTAGCTTCAAAACGCGTTTTTCGGTGAAATTCCTAGGAGCGAATTGGGTAAACCTATCGGTAAACTGGCCGTATTATCAACAACAAACAGCCACAACAAATAGCCAAACTGAAGCTAATTGACGACTGTACAGAACGCATTGCAGGCCTACGCTCGCCCTAAAATGAGAAACTGGGAACTAGCCACGTTTCACGAAATTCAAATGAACATTCACGAGCCGGCACGCGCCACGTTTTAAGAGAATTTGATCAGCTGATGCATGTCCGTTAGTTGAAAAAGAACATTTTAAATATATTGCAGTCGTTCTTGAGTAAAGGGAGAGCTTATTTTTTTAAGCAAACAACCAAATGGATCATGGAGGCTCAAGGATTTCACCGAACCAATCAATCTTTACGCAACCGGTCGCTTCTGCCATCGAGGATTTTCACCCTCTTCTGGTCGGCAGGCGAAGCCAGCCTCCTTCCCTTTCTGCCCATGTATTTCCGTTTCATCGGACTTACAGCTTTTCAGACCGGAATTCTTGGATGTACAAGGCCGTTGGTAAACTTTTGGGCTTCCCCTTTGTTGAGGATTCTGGCCGAAAGGACAAACAAGCGAAAGTTTTTTCTTCTCTCGCTTCTATTGGCTGCCGTGATTTCTAATATTTCTTTGGGATTTACAAACACAGATGATTACGCAGCGAATTTTCGCAAATATGTATGCAAGAGAGCAGGGGATTCTGATTTAGATTTTAATCGAACTATATCAAGAGTCAATGGATCAAACTTTAGTCCCTTGAATGCGTCGACGAAAAATTCAGGAATAAACAACCCAACAGGTGTAATCGACAAAACGATCGTTACATCATTATCGAACCTTTCATCGCCCGGAGGTGCTTCAACACAATTACATGACACTGGTGTAATGAACCACAACATGGACGGTCCTTTAGAAAATGACATTAAAAACTTTGAAGTCATTAACTCCAATTCAAGTGGAGACCAAGTAGTTCATTCAAAGTTAGTATTGGCACACCATGTTAATAATTCACTAACTATCAAAGAATCCCTGCATAATAACATTACCCAACTGGAAGTACAAAGTGAATGGTACCTCGCGTACGGTTTGAAAATAGACCACACCTTTAAAGTTCTTCTGACCCTGGTGTTCTTTTGTGAACTTTTCTCATCTCCTATCAGTTCTATTGGCAGAAGTATATCGTCTGATATTATGCGACAGAGTCAGGGGTCCCGATTGTGCACCAGTGTCTGGACATCCCTTGGGACAATGCTTGGCGGTGGGGTTCTAGTAATTACCATTGGATATCAC